GGTGTGGGAGCAGTCCTCTTTGCACCGTTTGCAGGGATGCTGGGAGGCTGGGCGATGAGTTTGAGTAATAAGCTAGAGTAATCAAGTGATCCGTGCAGGCTTCTCAGCTCACCTGCTGGTCGCCTGTATGAAGACCTTGCACTGGCTCTTCAAGTCCGTGAAAGAGACCGGGCCGTGGAAGCATTGGCAGCGAAGGAGATGAATGATGTCATGTCCATGTCCATGTACTAAAGCCTTGGAATCAACGCATGCTTTCAGGAGGATACATGTTGCCCTCTTCTTGGGGTGTGTCGGGGCAGTCAATGGAGCTGCTCGCTCGATCGTGAACTTCTGTTCTGTCTGCAGCTGTTTCGAGCAAGACAAGGCACTGGGCATCTTCTATCCCAGCGCCCTTTGGTGGGGAGAGGATCAGCTGCAGGCGTTTTTCCTTTTTGGAGCAGAGTCTTGAGCATGACTTTGCTCCTGACTGATAGAGGCGGTGCTGACTCGTGGCTGCGAAGAATATACAGAGATGTCAGATTGCGTGCCGTTACGGCTGCTTTGCGCTCAGACCTTGCCGTTGAGCGTGGCTTCCCTCACAAATACTCGACCCGAGTACCGGGCAGCCTGAACTGAAGGCCCCATTGGTACGAGAAGTTGCAGTCCAGCGCATGTTCCTTAGAAGAGCCCACGGAGTCCAGTTGAATCCGAAACTAGCACTGCATGAGGCAGCAGTCCACGCTTCACCGGGTCTCCCCATGTCGGCGCAAGCCATGGTGGGTCTCGGCATAGTCAAGCTGGTCATGATCAGCCTTTGTGAGGCGCTGTGAGTCTTGTCGCAACTTCGTTTGCAACTGCGCTCTTGCATGCATGTGCACAGCTGTGGACTCTGCTTTCCATGCAGGCGGGTGGCTTTGTAGGCGGTGCGATATACCCTGTCGATTCTTGGCATTGACGGGAGCATCCTCGTGTGCCATTTGTAGCAAGCTGCACAGTATGAAGACTGCATCTTTAGGCGTTCCTGGCCGGATCGTTTGGTTCTGCCTTGGGGGCGACTCCGTGGATCCAATCCTTGGGGGGGCAGCGGCCTGGCTTGCAACAGGCTCATGCCTTTGCACTGCGTGGCCGTTATGGGCACTTTCTGAGGTTTGTGTACCTCAGCACTGCTGCTGTCGGGGGCTCCAGTTCCAGCCATGACCTGGATGCGACAGAACCGTCGGGGGCACTGAGGCAATGTCCACGGCACTCTCAGCGTTGCTGAACACACAGCTCTTCGGAGTTCTTCTCGTTTTGGTGCTGCAGGCAACTCATGGCACATCCATAGAATCAGTCTGACGTACTGTAACACCTTGCTGGGATTGTACACTTCGCAAGTCTGTCAGGACAACATTCCACATGGGAATGTCTCATCACAGATCATTGCGCTCCTGACCGCCGTCTACGTGCATTACCTGCTGACCAGAAAATGCATTCCCTCGCAGTTGCGCTTAATGCCATCTCAGAAGGACGGCTTCAGTGTTATCTTTGTCTGAAGGCTTGCTCTATTCAGTTGCTGTGTAGGTACTGAGCTGTAACTCTTCCGTGACTAGGCGCGGCAGGATGTGATCTACTCAGACATCTCTGTGTCTCGCCTGCATTTGCTGCCCTTCGGCCCTTTTGAGAGGAAAATTGATTCCGATAGTGAGTTCACCTGGAGCAGGGCCTTCGAGGAGGCGTTGGTCACGCTTGAAGTTCATGTTGCACCTAGGCGAGTGAGGATGGATGTTGCGAGAGAAGTGCGGATCAAAGCTCTGGCGCTGGCCCTACTTGCAGCACGCCAGTCAGGGAGGAGAGATGAGACCAAGTGCATGGCACATGTCTTCAAGCGAGGTGACTCCACAGCAGACATTGATCCCGAATCGCAGTCCAACACTGAAGAGCTGGAAGACGCCGCTGCAGGAAACCCGGCGACCATGCTTTGCTGCGAGGTTCAGTCAAGCTTCGTGCAGCTTCGCTTGGTCTTAGGAAGGACATCGAATGGTTCCCCGGTGATATTGTCACTTTAGGCCGAAATGGGCCGAAGAAGAGGAGTTCCTATGGTAGTAAGATCGGAAGGTGATCCTGGCTTGCCCTCTCTCCGTCGGCAATGTATAGAGCCCAGACGAGAGAGATTTGAAACATACATCCTTGATGGCGCGGCGAGCGCTGGAAGGTTGAACAGGTGCAGCCATTTTCCCCGGCTACTGTACAGACTTCCGGTTGGAGTTGCAAAGAATCCCAATCCCAACGGTGCGAGCAAATCAGAGGGTACAGCCCTGGCCTCCAGGAAGGTCATTGAGTCAGCGCTGCCAGCGATTTCGTTTCAATTCACTGCGAGGTTGTGCTGCCTGCCCGGTGTATGTGTGTCAGCTGACTCTCAGAAATCTCATCGGCCCGTCGTGCCTGTATTGAGGGAATGTCCCGTCAATACTGCGATTTGAGGGCATAGGCATCAGCAGTTCAACCTTCGACTGGGGTGGCGTTGCAGTTTCTTGAAGAGCTCTTGGGGTTCAGATCGTTATGGCGCAAATTGAGCTGCTTCTACTTTGTCGAAGGGAGCACTTGTAATGTGACCGGCAGGCAATACTTTCGAGAGTATTGTCGGGCCCCGGGATCCCAGTGGTGCCAGTGCCTCAGCACGTTTTCGTTTGATTTTGGATTTTGGTGGTGGATTTCTTTTTGATTCTGTGGATCCGAGGTGTCGTGGTGGCTGGCTTGTGTTTCAATCTGCTACTGGCCGTACGATTCCTTTCAGGCACCTGGGAGCCGAGCATTCTGAATTCTCCCCACAACGCAGCAGCTTGGAGTAGTGCGCCTTTCAGGCTCTCAAAAGCCACAGAAGACGTCGGACCCAAAGGCTGCAAGAAGAGTTACGCTGCCTGCCCGAGCCCCGCTTTGAATGCGAACCCGCTCTCGGCAAGTTCGCGCAGCCCAATTGCGAGGTCGGCCGGGGCTTCCGGGAAGAGCAGAACGGAAGAGGCAAGCTTGAGGAGCTGGTTAGAGCTTGCGTTGGAACCCCTGTCGAAGGTGTGCCCCCGGAAAGGGAGGCCGAAAATGGTTTTGTGCACAGTGACAGCTTTGGAGGGGTCAGGAAGTGAGCTGCAGCAGGCATCCATATGCAACTTCCTCGATTGCTGCAAAGTGCAGAGGAGCTTCCGATAGATGTTGGTTGTCATGCATCAGACCCAATTGTTTTACATGCTTTTGCTGCACAGGAGTGACAGCACGAGTGGTATCCTCAGGCACAACTCATACGCAGGCGCAGTGGGATTGCACTCGTGCAGTCAGATGTACATGCAAGCATCGAACACAGGTGGCGTCGATCAGCCGGTGCATCTCTGACATGTTTTTTCTGTTTGGGTTAGGGGATATGTATTAGTGCAGAGAACCATATACTCACCTGTGCAGCAAGTATTGATCCAGCCGCGCTTTCTCGTCAGGTGGCTGCAAAGTGATGACCATCTGCATCCAAAGTTCTGTGGCTACAGACTGCAGGCTCGAAGTTCGTTCGGGTGCATCTCGTTACAGCCTTGACCGGGCTAGGAGCCTGGTAAAATGCCTTCCCTGGACCGCTTTCCACCCGAAGAGTCGAGGTCTTATTCGACCCTTGCAGAGGATTGCTACATGGCTCGAGAGGCCGCAGTAATCGGAAAGCTCAGGTTGGGTAGTAACGTGCCGTCTCACTGGGAGCTCCTTGGCCGCGGTGACAACCTGCAGATGTCTGGTAGCTGCACGTGGTCGCACAGTGAAATTTAGGTACCTGCTTCCTGGACGGTGTGAGAGCGAAAGGCTGAAGATCATAGTGAGTTGTTCTTCAAGCATTTGAGACCCAAGCGCAGCTTTCGGAACCAATGCAGGTTGAAGTGCCGCGAACTTCGTGAGCGTGTTCGGCATGTGGAGGGTGCGAAGGCCCCTCACTGCCGCGGGAGCTGCGAATGTGGCAGTCGCTTTGCTGTGCTTCTTTGGTAACCCTTCATGAAGGACATGGTCACAATGCTGCGGTTTCTTCGTGCACGTCGAGGACGTGGGACCTGGCAAGTGACGACGGAACGTGATGAGGGGTGGGGGCACCTGCCTTGTGGTAAGGTGTGGATGACGCGGCAAAGATGTACGCGGAAGCCATGAGGCCTGGGAATTCTCCCAGCCGTAGCTTGCATGGGTTGGCAAGTTTTTCAGGTGGCGTCGACAAACGGGATATGAGCTCGGTTTTCGGATGAACACCAGGAACGACTGGCCCGGCACTCAGCTGGCCAGATAGCTCAAGCACTTCGATGGTTTGCGACCCCCCTGGCGCAGCGTTCCTGAGGCTTCACAGAAAGGTTGACAGTTGCTGGCCGCCGACTGCTATGCTGGGCAAGGCGCGTGGCCGATGTCCGACGTAGTTTGGCCGAGGGCAGATCGGGACAGCACAGGACCTGGACGGTGATCCCGTCTACTGGAACCGGCTGGAGCCCGAAGATCGGAAGACTTTGGAGTCTCGAGGTGCTCTGCTCTTCGCATCTCTCTTCGCTTTCAGGATGGGCCTTGGCAGCATGGATTTCCTGGAGCAGGCCAGGGTTCCTGCCTTCTCGCTCTGAAGAAGGGCTTGCAATGGCTACCGCAGCTGTGGCTTGTGGAGGTTCCAACAGAGTTCCTGATACAGCACGAGGTCTACACGATCACCCGCATTATGCAGGTGCGCTCCACTCCGAGTCACGATTCGGTGCCATTGTGGCCAACGTGTGATGCGCAGGCCTTGGAAGAAGCTTCCCGCCTTAGCAGCCGGCCGGCAGCAACCCCGGGGCGGTTGCGTGACTTTGCAGTCTTAAAGCCTTCAAGGTGAAGCCATGAAGACCCTGTAGATGTCCAGCTGTTTTGAGGTCATGTACTTCACCGTCGTTACTGATCTAGGCGAAATGAGCAAATTGGCTGCAAATCTGCATAATTTGATGCTTTGTATTCAGTCCGTCTTGCTGGAAGCGAAGTTCCAAGGTCTGCGCAACTTCAACATTAAGGGAATTATGAAGCGGCTTGGCCCGGTTTTGGGAGTTCTTCTTTAGTCTTTAGTTCTGCACGCTTCGAGCGGTAAGGTACAAGGTCTGCGTGCGCATTTTGGAAGATCACTTCCCAGAGATTGTCAAACGAATTGCCGGTTTCCGAGACATTCGGCCATTGGTGCAGTGGCTTCCACAGTCTCCTCTGAGAGGATGAGCTTGATCTGACTGAGATCGCAATCCGCGTCCCACGGATCGCGTACACGCTGTGGAACATAGCTTCTCATTTCTTTGCAACGCCAGCTCAATTGAATGTGCTCGGGGTTGGTGCACACTTTGAGCACAGCTTCTGTGTGTGTCAGCACAGCCGGGAATCTATAGAATCTACGGACTCAGTACTGCGGAAAGGGTGTCTCGTTCTGGATGTGTGCGTGCACCCCTCCTCGTTGCCAGGATGAAGGCACCCGAAACAAGATTCAGATCGCAGATCCGCAGAACACACTGGCTGCCCGCTTCCTGGAGATTCCCTTCGCTTGGCTGGCTTTGCTGGCATTCGTTTCGAGGTTCTGAGCCAGTTCATGGACCCAAAGTGGATCCCAGAGGCTCTTAACATCTCTTGACTCTCTTTCGTGTTGGCTTCTTCCGAGCGATACCTTCGGCAGGCCCTGGGCGGCACTCATCGAATCGGAGAAAGCAGGGATGCACAGATCTGCCAGTACTCTGCCGTTGCTCGCAGCGCCCCTCAGGTGGTTGGTGCGAGCCTTGCATACCCAGTCCGACAGGCCCTCCATCTGAGGTGCGATCCTCAGTTCTCTGTGCTGTCGCCAGGATCATGAGGATCATAATGTGTTTGCAAACCACAACCACAGCCTGCAGGAAACGATGCGGGCTCTGAAGTCGACGTACGGCGACAATTAGTGATCTGTTCCGAATTCATCTTTCTGAGACATGTGGGGCTGGTGAGGGCCGTAGCCCATCATCGGAAGTTCTGCCCCCCTAGTAGGTTCAGTAATCTGACGACAATCTATGGTCGTCTAGAATCATCAACTCTCCTGGCTTCCCCGAAGAGGAACGGTACCGAAGGTACGATCCTCTCGGGCAAGACTTGATTTTCAAGCAGAGGTTAAAAGACGAGAGCAGAAAGCAGGCGGCGTGACGATGCAAGTTAGTCAGGCTTGTCTTGGGCAAATCACGTAGTCAACCTTAGTGCTGCTTCGCTTGGAAAAAAAATTCGGTCGCTCGGGTGGATGGTAGGTGCGATCCACGACTAGACTAGATATCCAGAATCCAATACCGTGACAGTGATCTGGGGAACAGCAACAAGCTCTCAGTCTGTCATTGTGCTGCAGATGCTTGGTCCTTCTTCGCATGGCCACATTGCCAGATCGCGTCTAATGATTTACCATAATCGTCGATACACTATGAAATTTCAAGAAACGCTGCTCATACTTGTTGTAAGTTTTTGTTCTTCACCTCGTAGGTAGCACGTTCACTTCTAGTATGAAGACTCCGGCCAGTTTTCTGGCCAGAACCCCCAACACGCGATTCCCGGTCGCATGTGGACAGCGCGGGAGTCGTAGATTTGGGTTGCTGGCAGCCACGCACACCAAAATCATGATTCCTGTGCGCACGTGGTTGAACTTCAGGCCTTCAAAAGCCCCGCAGACTGCGCGGGAGTCGAGATACTTAGGGTTTCCGGCAGCCACAATCTCCTTATTCACAATTCCCGCGTGTACTTGCGGCGTAAGTTGCGTCTTTTGCAACTTATCTAGCCATTCCGCCGAGCATGCGTGAATCCTGATTTTTTTGCTTTCTGGCCGTCAGAAAATCAAAAACAGCACGACTCCCGTGCGCATGTGGCTGACCAGGGAACAGACTGTGCCGGAGTCGTCATTTTGAGTTTTCGGCAGACACACACACACACACACGCACAAACCGTCTTGACAGATGTTGTTGTGAAGCGGATGATTGACCTTTGGCAGGAGAGTCGGTTTGCCAATCAACTTTGAGCCCGCTTGCTTACACAAGAGCTTCTCCGCCAGAACACGGAGTAGAAACTGACTGTATGATGTTAGGTTGAAAAATCGGCTTGTGCAGCCTTGGCTGCTTTTTAGAGATTGACGACAGGTTTTTTTTTTGCATAGTGCAGCAACAAATCTTGAATGATGCGGATTGGAGTTCTATTTGGCTTTTGCTGTTGCAGGGTTTCCGTGCTTGGGGGCTTCAGAGCAACAAGGATACTTTTGATGTGCGCACGCACCCGCTGGTGTGTCATCTTTCCTCATTGGTTCTGTTTCATCGGTTTTGCAGGAGCTGATTCTTTACTCATCTGTGTGGGGAGCTCGGTTCAGTAGGTGCAGCTGACAGAGCTGCTGCAAATGCTTCCAGGACCTCATCAGCCCTTGGGGTTATTGGGATGATTATTTGGATTTTTGCGGGGGGTTTGTCGGGCCGTGCTTCGTCCTCCACCGCATTGGCATCTTTGAAGCTTCACAGTAAGGCCAAGAACACAGGTCAAGCCTCAAGATGAGGGATTTCGAGCTTAAATGCAGCTTTGGACCAAGGCCGTAGCAGATTTCAAGTTGGCCGCACGACTGCCAGAACCGTGCTGCGACCATTTTTGCTCAGCTGACCCCCTTTGAGAGAGATTTTTTTAGCCTTGTGCAACAGGCACTCTTTCTACATGCTTTGGGTAAATCTGTCACGATAGCTTGTCACTTGAAGGCTACGTAATATTCATGCCTTCAGCCATTTTTCTTTGACATTCTGCTTTTGTGATGTCGCTTTCACTCCTTCTGCTCACCCACATCCATACTGCAGTGGGAAGTGCACTACTTCCACGTCCTTGCCCTCCCGGACGCTTGTTTGCGTGCCAGCTCGCGAATGGATGGAGTGTGCCGCACGAATTTCTCGTTCAAGAGCTACAGAGGTTGGATGAAATTCTGTATGGCCCCCTGCCGTCGGAGTTTGTTTCTCAGAAGCCCGAACCCGAATTTGCTGTAAATTCAGTAGCAAGCAGAGCTACAAGGCCTTCATGTGTGGAAGGAAAGTCAAGCCTAAAGTGGCAAGAGCATCCTGCAGTGAGAGCAAGAACACGTCGCCAGATTCGTACAACAGCCTGGGATCGATGCAGCATGGTCATTGTGGCATGTTTGATTGTGTGCCAGAGGCGCAAACTGCCAGTGCGTTTCACTTCAGCAGCGACTGCACCACCCCAGCGTCTCTTACAGACACAAGCGAAAGCATCCACAAGGGTTCGAGGATCCCAGCAGCAGACACCGCCACCCGGCAGACCATTGCAGACAGTGAAAATGGCATTCCCACCAACTATGCCACCACCACCTTCACGGCCACCGCCACCGCCAGTGAAAGTAGCGCCATCAATGCGGCCACTATTCACACAGCCACCGCCCACCCTCCCTCAGCAGGCGGCAGCAGCAACACCACAGCATTTCCATCCAACCGCACATCCACCACCCGGGAGGCCACCGCCATTGCAGGTCAAAGCACTGCCAGTACCTCCGCCAACGGCAGCTTCACGATTGCGAGGCTTACCATCCTTCCATGCAAATTTCGAGCTGGGGCGTTTGCTCGGCAAAGGGGGCTTTGGAGCAGTGCACAAGTGCAAAAGCCACGCAAACAGCGCAAAGTTCGCAGTGAAGCTACTGCCAGTTGCAGATGCAAGAGCTTGCATGAAGGAACTTGACATTTGCCATGGGCTCCGGCACCCAAACATCATCCGGTGTCACGATCTTTACTACAAACCCAGCATGCTATGCATAGTCTTTGACCTCTATGCATGCGATTTGGAGAATGCCCTGGAGTCCGTGAACGGCCGTGCTGAACCTTCCTCAATGGTGTGCTTCATGCGGCAAATGGTTGCTTCGGTAGCTTTTTTGCACGAACAGGGGGTCATGCACAGAGACATCAAGGAGCCCAACTTCTTGCTGACGGCTAGGCGTATGAGTTCTGACGTTACGGTCGTTCTTGCTGATTTTGGACTGGCTGGACTTTTGTCAGAAGGATTGGAGATGGCAGATGTGGTTGGCACAGATGGGTATATGGCTCCAGAGTGCTTGGCGGGAAAGAGTTCATACAGGACAGATGTTTTTGCCCTGGGAGTTACGTTTTTTCGCATGTTGACAATGAGATTTCCATTTCAAAGTGATGCAGGGGCATGGCGATTGCTGCAACCATTGCCCCGACATGTGCACCCTCTGCGTGAAGAAATGGTGCTTGACATGCTGAAGAAGGAGCCATGCCACAGGCCACAGGCAAAGACATTGCTCGATAATTTCCCCTGTTGGGAAAACTTCCCTGACATTTCGGAGCAGCCTGCCACTAAAAATAATGGGCGTGGTCAAGGCAGGAAGTGGAGCTTGAAGTAAACCCGCAATTGACACAGATCGCCTGCGGAAAAGGAAGCACGGCTGGGTGAGTGTGTGGAGCAGTAGCAGTAGCCGTAGCAGTAGCAGTAGCAGCAGCAACAGCAGTAGCAGTAGCAGTAGCAGTAGCAGTAGCAGTAGCAGTAGCAGTAGCAGTAGCAGTAGCAGTAGCAGTGGTAGCCGCAGTCGTCGTATAGTAGTTTTCAATCCCTAACACATCTATTGGAACTAGTGCTGGTGCTAATGTGATGCTAGACCAGCAGTAGTACTAGTAGCAGTATTGCGTAGCACGAAGTATTCGGACAGTAGTACTGGTACCAGTCATTACCAGTCCCAATGCCAGTGCTAGTGCGAGTACTAATACTCGTATTGGAAGTACTTCAAGCGTTATGACTAGGAAGAGTAGTCGTGATCGTAGTAGCAGCAGTAGCAGTATCAATGGTATTTGTGTTGGTATTCACACTGATAGTAGTACTAGCAAAGGTACAGGTACTCGTGTGAGCGTGCGTACATGTCACCACAGACATGTCAGTCTTTGCAGAGCTGTTGCGTAGCTTGCATGTTGTTGTAATTGTGTACGCGTAGGAGAGGAGGGACGACTCAGAAGACAAATGCTGAAGTGAATCCCCCAGGAACTTTCCAGGAACTTCTTGCACGCCCATTATCAGCCAGCTGCAGCTCATGAGCTTAAGAGCTCCTGCGCAGCTGCCACATCGAAGACTTTGACGCACCGTTGAAGCCACGTCAGCCTCGGTCGCCGTGAAGGTTTCCAGACGCAGGTTTCGTGGGTCCCCCGTGGCGATTCAAACCCGTGTAAGCCCATGGAAGATCACGGCGTACGCTAGGAATGCACGTTGTTTTGGTTCCATCATGTTAGATGTCTCAGCCCCTGCTGCATGCTGTTGCCACTTTCAAGCCCTTCTGCACCACGAGACATCCTCTGCTTCATCCAAATCCAGAAGTCCCCGCGCATGCATGTGCAACGGTGAACGAGCGGGTGTCCTGCACGTTGAAAGGATGCTGTCAGCGGATTGATCGAGTGTGCGTAAGAGTGCAGCGCATGGTAAGTTGCATGATGGCCATGAGAAAATGATGCGGCGCTCTCGCCGTGGGTGCTGTGTGCACCCAGACTTCCGGGATTCGCCTGCAGGAGAGTATGTGAAACATGCGCAGCTGTGAACTCGTGGCTGGCTTGCTGGCACTGTCGCGAGGATGGCACTTGAGCCTTCCACTCCGGTAGCCGGAGTCTTGAACACTGGTGGCTTCACAGCCAGACTGGCAGCCGCGAGTAGCCAATTAGCGCGGAGCGAGATCTTGTGTTCAGGAACTGCGCTTCAGAGGTTCAACTCGTGGGTCGTATTCTGCTCGGTCTGTGGCATGCCTTAGACTTCTCTGTGCAGCAGCAAAGGGCCTTTTGCTGAGGCGTTCCGAGCGGGCATCCTTGCTGCCGACGGAGTGGCAGCCCAAGTTGCTCGTTGAAGCTTGCTTCAGCTTCCTGTGCTACTTCTCCAGAGGCCGGCACATTGGTATGCTCCCGGTGGACTGCGGGATCCCGGAGGGCAGGTGTGGCTTGGCGGCATAACGCTTTCGAAGAGGTTGGACGGTGTGGCACGTCGTATGTTTGCGTATTGTAGATGTGCAAAGTATCGCAGCATCGCATGGGGTTGGGTCCTTCAAGCAGCCGAGGCACAGCATCAGCGTCGACGAGCTCCACGAGGCGAGCTGCGGTGCACTTTTTCTCACCTTGCACTTTGGCTTCCGCAGCTTGCAGGCTGCTCTCAGAGGAGACATTCAGCTTGTGCGAAAGCTCGGGGCTCTGCAGCTTAGCTCTCTTACCGTGTCAGAAACATACACGGCTTCTCAGGTTTATCGAAGCAGGTGCTCCCGTCAATGCTCCCCTGCGAGTTGCCGGAGGGGACGAGTATGTAACTCTTCTGCATGCCTGGAGCTTACTCAAAGTGTGATAGGAACACAGCACGTTCTCCTGCCGAAAGAGAGGTGATCTCAGCAAGACGCACATTGCCGAACGGTCGGGATCCCTCGTTCGTTGTTAAGCTGCCAAGCTCTGGAGACATGACAGGGCCAGGCATCGCCTACGAGCTCATCTATGGAAAGGCTCCGCCATGCACAGCTCTTTCCGCAGCTCTTTCTTTGCCCACAAATGCGCAATGCATGTCGTTCGGGGCCGTGATTGCATGCAGGCTAATCCCAATGCGCGCAGCACTCTGGGTTCCACGCCGCTCTCCCGACCTGGATTGAATTCGTCAACTGGCTCATAGCCATGCCTGGAAGGCAAGATAAGTATCAGCTGCCAGTTCCTCCGCATCCCTAACGACCTAAAAGACTCCGAATGTTGTACGTGCACATGTCTCAGCCACTGTCGGGTTTCTGGGGTTGAGGGCATATTGCTGCTTCTCGAATCTAGCGAACAGCCCTCGGTTTAAGGTTGAAGATGTCACAAGCCAGACCCTTTCTTCGTCCCCGCACTCCTTTGACATGTCTCTTGGCGCCGAACACTTGCGCTGTAAATTTACGGTCAGCTTGTGATTGCCGTATCAGGTAGTCTTTCAGTTAGCTCGCTACAGTATTAAGCCATTTCAACATCACTGATTTCTGTGCCCGGCCACTTAGTTTTTTTAATGGAGTGCTTGCTTAATTGCTTAAAATTAATAAACTCAGTGCATATCGAGTCATTTATCCTGGCTTTTCATTGCGACTACTGAAGCCCACTGTAATATTTCTGTGTATCGTTCTTTCTGTCAGTGTCTGTGACTTTGAGACGTGGTAATGCGATCTGACACAAACTGATTGATGTGAAAGGAAGTTTCTTGATCATGTCCCGCTCAAGCCCATGATCATGATGATGAGGAGGAGCCTGCTGATACGCCGGTGGTGATGTTGGTTCATGTTTGGCCTATAGTTGAGGGTCATCGGAGTTTGAAAATCCCTACATGGTCTCTGCTTCCGGCCAGGCTGATGTTCGCCTGCTTCCACAAGAATGCACCCCTTGTGGAGGCCTGCCGGGGGTCATTTTTTCAGATCGTCAGGCGCTCCCGGCTGTGGGCCAGGTCTTGTTGGACACTGAAGCAGATCCAGATGCCGTTGAATGCCCAGAGGATTACGAAAGGAGGAAGATTCATAGTTTTGACTCCGGGAACTGCCCAAGGTGGATGATCATGGCAAGACAGCTCTTCGCTACGCCAGCGCCTTAGGTCGGAGAGCCTCGTGTCCGGCTTTTCCCTCACCGCAGCATGGCTCGGTGGAGCGATCTTTGCTCAGTGCAGGCCGTCTCCCTGCAGGGCAAGGTGCATGTTGCGAGCATTTGCCAGCTGTGGGAATTCTCGACACTTGCGTCTGCTGTTCAAGGATGGGTCGTATGATGAAGAAGAAAAGAGTGTCCAGATCCCAGACTGGAGCCTAGTTCCTAGAGCTGGTTTATCGTAGCCGCCAGCCGAGGCCCAGATCATCGAAATACTGGAAGAGCATGGGGGCGATCTTGACAAAGGTGGAACCATGGCGCCGATCGCGGAGGCCACTGCCGCGACAACGGCTCTTCTCATCCCTCGGGCCGCTGTGACGTGAGGCGGTCCTGCAGGAGAACGGGGCAGCAGCGCCTCTCCTGCATCATGTGATGGAGGCATATTTAGGCTTGCAGCCTCGGGGACGGGCTGTTACGCTGCACGATGCGCACCGTCGCCAGCAGGAGCCTGCTTTTGGCTACTTCGTTGTTTGCGTGACTTCTGCTAGATGTCACTTGCAATGAAGACATGCCCACCTGCCTGAGAGTCCATGAACCCGAAATTCTGGAAGACTTCCCCCCCAATCCTGTCCGGGCCATGGCGGCCTTAGCCTGGCTTCTGTTTTCCTTGGCCGCTGCCGTGGTCGATGCGGGACACCTGCGCGGCCTGCGCGGCCTCAGCGAGGACCTGGGGACGATACTGCGGGCGGACGTGGCGAAGGCTGCGAGTGCCTTTTTCAAGACCTTCCAGATAGAAGGCAATCAAGGAGGGGCACCGGCAGCCTCCATTGACACCACGGCGAGTGGTGCTCATCTCGTCCAGGAGCTCCTTTCCAACAAGGAGCTGACGGACGAGATCATGCTAAAGCCTACGAGGAACGGATGGGTCCAATCGGGCCGTCTGTACGACATCCTCATGAAGGACGCCCACGTCGGCAAGGAGACCCACGTGTCCACCGAGGGCGGACAGGTCAAATTTTCTGTGGAAGATCTCTCCGTGGACGTTGAGTGTCAGTACGATCTACGTTTGTCTAGCTTCCGTTACAAGGAGACAGGCAAGGTGAGGGCCCGACTGTTCGGCGACTCCATGTTGCTGAACTTCCCCGTCGAGGGCTCCGGGCCCGGAGGGTGCCACTTCGGCGAAGGCCTCGACCTGGAGGCAGGGTCGTTCAAGCACGTCTAGATTTCTTTATCGGTTTGAACCGGTTCCAGCTCACAAAACATGCTTCAACACGCGTTGCCAGTCTGTGGATCTTTGCTTATCTGTTTAAACAGTGTCGTTGCACTGAGAGGCATAATTTCCTTGAGTTTAACCATGTAACATATTAATTCTGTTTCAGCATCCACGCAAGTAAACAGTTTAAACAAGACACCCGCCCCAACCCTACCGTGAGGTCCTCAATGCGACAAGTGATCACGATGCGCTGAATGTAGCGATCACTGACATTTTGTCCAACAACATGTTGGACCTCCGCACGGAAATCGTGCAGGAAATGGAGAGTGGCTTGTGCCGCAATCTGCTCGAGCCCCGCGCTCAGCAACCGAAATTCATGCACCAGGCTCTGGGCAATGGAGAGTCCATGTGGCCCCTGGTGCTTGGAGCGATTTTCATTTCCTTCGCAATGCTGGTCGTTGCGTTCATCGCTGGCCGCCAGAGCGTTTATTTAGGCTTTTGTGGATGCTTTTCCAGCTGCTGTGGTCCTTCTACGTCACCATGGTCCCAAACAGAGGGCCATACAAGTTCTGAGGAGTCACAGTCCGATATCGAAAACAACCTTCTGGGCCTGTCGAACATGACGGCCATTTTTCCGAAATGAATGTGGAGTGGGATGCCTGGGCCAGAGGCAGCGAGGTGAGTAATGTTTTTATGTGCGCTACCTGGCTACTACTTGGTACTATCTGAGCCATCGATTGCTCTTATGCCTCGGCTAGGCCCACATCCACCTCCCACGTTTCACGCTGTGAACCAGCCCTGCACAATGTCCCAGTTGCATGAGTTTAAAGGTTTCTTGAGATCCACCTGGATGTTGCTTGTCAAAGTACACAAAAAGAAGCGGAGCAACAGACAGCACTTAATTATGTTGGTTTGTTTGAGCAATGCATGGCCTGCGCTTTGCAAGCAGGCCGATCTGGGACTTGATTCAATTAGGTATATATGCCTCTTCATGAATATGCGAAGACGGAAGTGTGTTGGCAGTGACCTCCACGAGACCTTTTGTCCACACCACCACCCCCGCAGTCGCACATGGTTCGACAGCCCCAAAGTCTGCTTGCAGGAGGCGATGCAAATCCAGTATGTGTACACGAAAGGAGACCTCAAGATGAACCGACGTGTAACGTAAACCTTTGAAAGTGATCTTCACCGCAAGCCCCGAAACATGGTTTCAACTCGAGGAAGTCAACAATTAGGACCAGGATCTGCGGCAAGTCTCCGCGTCCCTGAACCTTGGCAACCTTGAGACTTAAACAGCATTTCCGACCGCGACAAAGCGAGGGGATCAACCTTCTGAACCGTGACCTTCACTTTGTGGTTTCGGAGGCCTTCTGCCACGGATAGCAGCTAAAGGGTAGCAACAGAACGTACAAAGCTTCGGTCATGTTGAAAAGTAAGTGACTGTCGAAGACAAGATTTCAAATATGCAGCTAAGCAAAAGCCAGTAGAGCCTCCCAAATGTCACTGTAGAAAAAGTGTGCGAGAAACACTGACACTTGCACGGCTTGAGATTCTCTGTAGATGTTCCGCAAGATGTCAACCTGTCTTTGTGTCTTCAGTTCCACCTTGCTCCAGCAGAGGTTACACAGCTGTTGGCGCTGGGTGCTGCGCCAGAAGCTCGGTTTTCTTGAAGAAGTTTGGCTTGTGCTTGGGTTCTACTTGTCGAAAGAGATGCACCGCATTGTTCTGTGGATCTTGGACGCTCATTGTCGTTACCCGGTGGGGTTGATCAGAGACCCCTTGTACGGATTTCAAGCTGGTTTGGGGCGCAGGATGACCGAACCAGATTAAAGAAATTGGGCCAACACATCGTTGATTTGTCGGTGGAGATGGGGTTGTTGATGTTATGCCCACTGGTCCCACTAGGTCAGATGGTCTCATCTATGCCGTTTCCGAGAAGCCGTTGGGCGTCGTAAAGGCTGGCTTTTGTCGAGAGCTTCACAGCTTAGAGGGCCGACGGCAAGCTTCGATGTCGCCAGGAGCTGATCCGTGGTGGAGCGAACCCTTTCGTGCAAGATTCGGACAGACTGTGTTGTTTTTGCGTGGCCATTGGGGCCATTGGATGCCATTGAATTGGCATCGGCTTCGTGAGGATGGCCGGACTTGCATGGAGTTGGCAGAAGAGCGGGGGGACCAGGTGCCGGGCGCGGGACCACGGGACCACGGGAGCAGGAGTCTCCATGTGTCACTAGACAGGCCGTGATGGACTGCTTGCAGCACTACATTGCTGAGCTCGAGAGGTGCAAGCCTCAGCAGCTGCAATGTTTACCGGCTGGTTTCCTCAATTTTGTAGCAACTGATACAAGTTGACACGCTCTGTGTCGGACAGTTTTTTTGTACTGCATTTTGTTGCAGTCATCAAAGCATCTCAGGTCACGAAGCCGGCATCTGAAGTCGAAACCGTGACTTTGCCAAATTCATCTTTTGATTGAAGCAAGGCGCACGAGCGGCTATGCAGCCGGCACACATCTAGCATCCATGATCAGATTTCGAGGTTCAGCGCCGACCGCGGGTGGCCCACCGTCAGAGCCCTCGAGCAGTCTCAGGCAGGACCGTGTGTGAGCTTCCTTGCTTGCGATCTCAGCCACTGCCGCTGCGGCCCGCTTTGGAAGCTGGCTTGCTGGAGACAAGCATGGGATCTTGGGAAACAGCATGAACCAGATGTTGGTCTACCATCATGTCAGGGATAGCAAGGTTATGGGCAAGCCTCCATGACAGCTCCAGGATCATGACAGCACCGGCAGTGCACTGCCTGCACCGGCATACTTGGCCCATGGCTTCTGCCATTTTCTGCCACCCTCCGGGTTCTCGTCTGGATGACCTGTTCGGTGGCTGCGCGTGCCGTCGCATCGCTTCTGTCTGCAGGGGACATTCAGGAGTTGGTTTCAGTGAATGACCGTGCGTTCGTGGGCGCGTTCACGTCCTTGTTGCTTGTTACGGGCACACAGCCTGCGCAGGCATGTTAGATTTATGTTAGTTCGAAGCTCCAAGTAATGCATAATTGTCCCACCAAACAGAAGATGAAAGCCGGGCCTGCGAGGATGTTGAGGCCCTGCTGGAGTCGCCGCGACGGATGCCGGCGTGGGAGCCGAAACAGAAGCCTTCTTATCCTCTGGAGACTCCGACGCGGAGCGCAGGTCTTGTGGGCCCGGCGGGCCTTGCGGGCCTTTCCCGCCAAGTGCCTTTCGGCCCAGGAGAGCTCTGGTCCGAATTGCAGGATGCTCGCTTGCGCATGGAGCACCAGAAAGCTGCGATGGCCTCTGAGAGAGCCGAGACCGATGCTGTGATCGAGGACTTGAGAGAGCAATTGAATGTTCGGATGCTCGAGTTGCAGGAGCTCTCAGCACGCGAAGAACAGAACTCCAGGGATAACTTGGAGTTGCAGGAGGCAGTATCGGACTTGCGCCAGCAGTTGGCGGAAAGTGCGGAAGAAATGCGGGATCTCCGGAACTGCTTCGACTCTTCGTTGCCCATGGCGCCGGTAGAGGACGGTGGCCGTGGCCGTGAGGAGCGTGTTCGAGCGCTGGAAGCATTGCTGGATTTGCGGAGACGCTCCGAGCTACACGGTCATTCCATGGAAGGGGTTGTTGCAAGGTGGCGACTTCGAACAGTTGCGGCATCAGCTGCCATCACGGAAAGAGCGCGGCTGAGAGCCGACGGCTTGGAGCGCTTGGGACGGGCCATTGCTTCTAGCAGGAGCTCGGGTGCATCCAGTGCCACAGCCTTGCTCCGTGCCTTCAGAGCCTGGACGTTGGAGACCAGCCACACCACCCACACCAACCAGACCCAGACCGCCCAGAGTAGTGCCCATGCCCGGGCAGCCAAAGTAGCTCAGGGCCTCAAAGGCAGAGTCCTGCAGACTTGGCGGCAGCTGGTGAGAACGGTATCCTCGCTGAGACAGTTGAGGTGGATGGAGCCTTCAGCGGTGTGTGCTCCAGAATTCGCTGCAACGTGGCAGGCTTCAGCTTCCCGTGTGTACCGGGCAGTCTTGCTGCCTTCGCCACAACTTGAAAATGTTGCTGCCAATGCAACCCACTACTTTGCCAAAAAGCGCGCTACTAGTATGGAGCAGAAAAGTAGATCCGGTGGTGCATCATAACAGCGGTTGCAATCTTGTCGCATCCTGCAGTGGCTGGCTTCGGGACACTCAAAGTCCGAACTTCAGGCCTTGGCCTTGGTTTGTAAGTGGTGGGTCCTCGGGTGAGGGGCACGGCCGTGAAGCCTAGGAGACTAACGTGAACATCATTCTCCCGCTTGATCGACCACCTGCGGAGCCGACACCGGCTGCGCAGCTGGTGCGCCTTCAGGCACGCGTGAACATGCTGCTCCTGTTGGGGTGCTTCAGCTCTTCGTTTTTGCAACAGGTCAAGATGCTGCTGGACAACCCCGTTTTTCAGGTGGGCTTCTGCCACGGCCGAGCTTGAAACGTTCTTGTTCCCGAAGGCCGTCTTGACCACAAACCTGGTCCTCGCCCTCTTCCTGCCTGATTTCTGGGTAATTTTAGCCCCTTCGACGCATTGACCGACTGCCAATGCAGGCACCAAAACGAAGTTTTTCCAGGAAGCAATCTTGTTGCTTGCGTTTCAACTTAAGCCTAAGGCAATGCAGGCCCGGACGGCCCTGGACGTTGCCCTTGTCTTGATTTTCACGACGTTTGTCGGAGGCTCAGGCCTAGGCATCTATTGCCATCGCAGTTTGGTTAACACTCGTCACCCACTTGAGAGAGGAGAGAGCGAGGCAATTGAATTCGGAGCCCATGTGATTGCATTTCCAGACACCTATATCGGCTCGCGCGGCCCTTGGTGAACAGAAAGTTTAAGTGAGGGTAAATATGATTTCGGCGGAGAGTGGCGGCCAAGGTACACTTTTTGGACAGATATTATCAGCATGCTGTCTGTTCCGTTGGATTTCTCCGTGGTGGCAGACAACTTCGTTGGTCTTTTCGAGGCGGTTGATTTTTGGGCAAAAGAGTGCTGTGCAAGGCATTGCAATTGCCAATGGTGACTGCTGCAGGGATCCGGGCTGGCTCGCGTCACGAAGTTTGCAAAGCTGAGCGCACGCGCTGTGCGCCTGTCAAGGCAGTGTGCCCTTAGGAAGAGTGCCGCATGATGCTCAGGGGACATTCCGCAGGCTTACGAAGCTGCTCCGCTTCCTCCCGGGGTCACGCAAGCAGCTCGAAATGGAGAGGAGCCGTCAAGGCAGGAGTGGTGACGCGTGCAGCCAGCATCAGCCGGCGGTGCACCACTCCGCAGCGACAGGTCCAGCCAAAGAAATATCGCTGGCAGTTTCCCCGGTGGAAGTTCTTCTTCGCTGCTGTTGATTCTCGTTGCTTTCTAGGAGCTGATGGCTGACCTGTCGCTCAAGGCAGTTGTTTGTTTGTGAGCATGAGCGTGCCGTTTGGCACCCGGTTGCGCCGCAGGTAGCCATGCTGATCATTGGCTTGGTGTTGGTTCTGCCCTTGCTAGACTTCTTCAAGTACCCCCCGCTGGGATCCTAGTCACTTCTCGTTGAAGACGCATTCGCTGGGACGACTCGCAGGGACGATAATTCCATGGCCACATGGACCAGCCAGCTCTACTGGACGTCAAAGCGCGAGCCCCGGTGGCCTCGGTGCCCGCTCGGTGCCCGCTTCAGCTCGCGCCTTCCCTTCCTTTTGGTCTGTTCAAGGACACATCCAGAGGATGCTATGGCGGTTCCGGCCCAAGTTTGGACATGTGGTCTTGGCAGTTCATCGACGAAGATGTCACACCAACTGTACCGGTTCGAAGGTCATTGAGGACATGAGGCAGTTTTACAGTGTCGTGGCCTTGGAGTATCGGTTGGTGCCATGAACGAAACCTAAGGGGATCGAGTCGTAAAACCCCTGTCACCAAATGTCCTCTGCCCTAATTCCCTGCAGGTTTTGGAATACCATCCATTCCAAGTGATGTACTCCATCAACAACACGCAAATCTCTCACGAATCGCGCTCAGCTGCATCTGCCCCAGCTGGTCAGTTCATCTGAGCGAGATTTATCAGTCTCCAGGTGATCGCGAGCGCAACTGCAAGACGCTGAGTGTGAAGTCAGCAAGCGGACTTTGTCGTTCGTCGGACTTTGTGTTGATGACTCCCCAGCCCCACGCTGGCCAGCCTTTGACAAGCTGAGCAATGCAAAGCGGGATGGCTCACGTGGTTGTTGGCAACACCCGCTGTTTGGGGATATTCCGATCCCTCCTTCCATGCGAACTAGTAAGTTTTCTGTTGCCCACTGAGCGCCCTGCGAGCAGGAAAGCCACCATGAAGGATGGCCCAAAGAATCCCAATCTGTTCACTACACGTACCCTCCGCGACCTCAAGCAATTGCCGCTTGCACTGTTTGTGACAGGACATGTGACCTTCCAAGGCCCCCATGAGGGAAGCCGATATTGTGACTTTGGAGAAGGAGGATGCCGCAATCAAGTTCAACTTCAGGCCGGAGCCGCATCTTTTGACACAGCGTGTCGACGAGCATGTTGTCGCGATCCGTCATGCCAAGTTCACATACGAGAACTGCCTGAAATTGGATGGCGTATCTTGAGGCAAATGCTTCAATGATGATGTAGATTCAACGTCCGTGCTCCAAAGCTAGCAGATGCCCTGCAAATGCGTGTGCGTCTTCCACCCAGATGCAGCCAGCAAAGTGTGCTGATACTGAGCACGACAGTCCAAGCCAACAATCACTGAATGCTTTTCTATCAACATTTGCAACTATGGCTTGAGGGGATGCTGCTGATTGAAGTCGCTTGGTGCATTTATTGAGATGCTGCTGTGGGCGAGGGTTGGACACGAGTTCAAGTTTCTAGATGTTTTCACGGATTAGTGGTTGCTGGTTCCCGGCATTGTGACTTGAAGCTGCCTGCCTTCAGTGGCTGTGTGGCGATGTGCACGACTAGTTATGCGCACGTCAGCCGACGTCATCCCGTCCAGGGCGCCTATTTTGGCTGAAGCTGTTCTAAACGACCCTGGGCTGCAGAATGAGAAGAACCGTTTGGCAGGGGAGGCTGCTTCTACCGCTCCACGAGGTGGTTCTGATGTTCATTGTCATACTGGTGATCTTTGCAGCAGCCTTGGTCCAGCTTGGGTTCATGGCGGATGGCAGGGTTGATCCATCCGCGCTGCAGTGATCAAAGACCGGACGAAGAGATGTGTGGGCAACAAGAGATCAGCTTAGCACGGTTTGCAAGACTGAAAGTGTCAGTATCAAGTGTCCGCGCCTTTTTTTTGTGGAAGGCGCGCATTAGTTGCCAACCAGGGTATGTTCAACTTACTACATTTCCTCAGCAAATCTTGGTAACATATTCGGAGTCGGTCTTCATGACGTCTCCTCAACGCGTCCTCTTTGCAGATGCGAGCGAGACAGTCCGTCGGCCCGAATTTCTGAACTCATTTCCCAAGCCATGGCTGCCTTAGCTTGGCTTCTGTTTTCCTTGGCCGCTGGCGTGGGACGATTCTGACAGCAGACGTGGCGAAGGCCGCCAGCGCGATATTCGAGACCGTCCAAATAGAAGGCAATCAGGGAGGAGCGACGGCAGCTTCCATTGACAGCTGGTGCAGGAGCTCCTTGCTGATAAGGAGCAGCCTATGCAAAACGGCTGGGTCCAATCGGGCCGTCTTTATGACATCATGAAGGACGCCCAGGTCGGCGTGGGGACACGTGTGTCCGCCGATAACGGGCTAATGCAAGTAAGACCTGGCTGTTTAGTTTCGGGCCGAAACTGGGCAGCCGGAGGTCGTAGTTGCATTTTACCTCCTCTGCGAGGGCTCGACTGTTCGGCGACTCCATGTTGCTGAACTTCCCCGTCGAGGGCTCCGGGCCCGGAGGGTGCCATTTCGGGAAGGGCCTCGACCTGGAGGCAGGGTCGTTCAAGCACGCCTAGATTTCTTTATCGGTTTGAACGGTTTCAGCTCAAAAGGCATGTTTCAACATGTTCGGTCAAACTGTGGATGCACTGGCGAGGCTAAAACCATGGGTTATCATGTTTTGAGCATGTTAAGGAGGGCGTGTGAACATGCTACACCACACTTGTCTCAACTCCTGGAGTGCCACACATGAAATCCCAACCATGGCGCCTTTGTTTAAACGATCTTGAACCGTGCGTGAAAACAGTTCCCTGAGTGCCCCACACCAAACAGTTCCTGGAAAGCCACGCCGATTATTAAACGTATGTTGAAGCAACACGAAGGCGCCTCAGTGCTCCGGATCTTGAACGAGCAATAAAATTGAGAATATAACCTGGTGTTTAATCTGTTCGGTTTGAAAAGTTTGAAGGGTTTACACATTACCGGCCAGAGGTTCCCTTTGTTTAAACATATGGTCTTTAAGCATCGGTGCGTGCAAGCAGTTCAAAGAAGACCCCCGCCCCAACCCTGCCTTGAGGTCCTGATTGCCAGGAGTGACCACGACGCGCTGAACACGGCCATCACCGACATCTTGTCCGACAGCATGTTGGACCTCCGCCTTGGAAATCGTGCAGGAGATGGAGAGCGGCTTATGCCGAAATCTGCTCGAACCCCGTGCTCAGCAACCGAAATTCATGCACCAGCCTCTGGACAATGGAGAGTCCATGTGGCCCCTGGTGCTTGGAACGATTTTTCTGTCCTTCGCAATGCTGGTAGTTGCGTTCATCGCCGGCCGCCAGAGTGTTCATTTGGGCTTCTGTGGATGCTTTTCCAGCTGCTGTGGTCTTTTTTCTCAAACGACCACAGTAGCTGGAATCACTACCATGGTTTCCGAAATGAATGTGGAATGGAATGCCTGGGCCAGATCCCTGGCTACTATAGTTGGTAAAAGCTATCGATTGCTCCTATGCCTCGGCTAGGCCCACATCCACCTCCCACGTTTCACTCTGTGAACCAGTCCGAATCCCTGTCGCCTGCACGCTGTCCGAGTTGAGTGAATTTAAAGGTGACCCTAGGCTAGGTAGCCAATGCATGCGACCTTGGCAGCCCGAGATTGCACTGCCAGTTATCTGCAAGAGCTTTAGTGTAGGTGCACATGGCAACAGTTCAATTGCGCTCAGGTTGCATCTGGGGGTGTTGCTTCAGCCGTGTCCTACACGGCCCTTGCCTACGTCCTGTGTCTGTCAGCGTGCGACTGAGTCTGAAGTCTTGAAGTCACCTTTGGCAAGGTCCTTTCTCCGGTCGAAGATCTTCTGGAAATTGTCGGAGCCCAACGCAGCATGTTGCGTGTTGTAGAGAAAAACGCTTTGTGACAGAACAGGAAGCGAACGACGGCCGAGGTGCATTCTACTGCCATGCAGATTTTTGACGCAGTGGAACATATGGCGATCTACTTCGTCAAGGACAGGCTGCTGAAGGTCCTGCTGAAGTTGGCCGTGGAAGAAGCTGCCAAGATGTGCCAGGATTATTCGAATCAGCAGAATACACAGCTGGAAGCAGAGGCCAAGCTTGCAATGCTCGCATCTGAATCGTTCTTTCCTCCCAGTTCGTTTTTTTTCAAGTTTTGTAGCTGATTAAATACTTCGCTGGGATTCAGAGCAGAGAGGTTTGTCATGAACTGGGACATAAACTGCAGGATGTGGGCAAGAATCGCTTCTCCCACGAAGTGCGCTTGCTGGCCAAGGCCGCCATCCATGGATGCCTGTTGAAACAGAAGTTTCTCACACCTGGTTTTCATTTGACCTGAGCTTCCAGCAGTTCGACCTTGTCTCATCGGAAAGGTGCTCAAGAAGTTGGATCTCTTGACATTGATTGCCAATGCAAAGAGACCTGTAGATGAGTTCGAGCAGCTCGGCTGGACACTCAGCTTCTTTGGGGTCTGCTAAGACCAGCACATGTCAGAATGGATCGCATGTCGAATTGTGCAGGTGACGGGCCATGTGCTTTCTTGCCGGACTATGCAACGTGCGCCGTTCACGTCGGCCGACCATCATGTGTTCGGGTTACGATCTGAATTTTGGTGATTTCACATCGATTGTAAGAGTCTGCAGGCAGGTAAGTGTTTAGTTATGAATGAATAAAATAGAGTAGTCTCCACCAGCCATGTCTGGGATTTACAACTTCATATCGACTTGGCAAAACAGGCATGCTTAGCTGCCGCTTCCTCATTCCCTTGCAAGGAAAGAGAGAGCTTGGCCACTGGAACGCTGCGACAACTTTGCCTGTCATGGTTCCAGTGCTGTTTTCCTGCAGCGGGTGTAGCTCATTGGAAACTGCCATCGTCTACCTCCCGATGAGGTACGCAGCCGCTAGACATCAGCGCACGCTTGCTCGCTCAGCCCCTCATCTGCATGCTCCTGATGACCCTGTGACATCGCGAGACCTTACAAGCCCAGGACTCTGAAGCAGAACGCGAAGAGAATGAGCTCCCTGTGCCATCCTGTGCACGTTTCTGGCAATTCTGTAATGCCCGTCCCATGTGCACTCGCGCGATTCGGCAGGCTGATGGAGAGTATTGGACAAGAGCTTGGTCCAGCGCCAGTCCTATATGGCAGCGGTGAATGCGCTGCATACTGCCAGTCTGATTTTGTGGACGTGTCAACTCGTCAAGGCAGAGATCTCGCGCAACGACTTCTTTTCCTGGGACTTCAATATCGCAGAGTTGAATACCGGGCGAAGTGCCAAGATGATCATTTGACAGGTTCTTAGGAGCCACCGTGTGGTGTGGGACTGACATCGTGTGCCTCCAAGGCAACGAGCTTCGCTTGCACGGTGTTTGGTGACGATGTTTGACACATCTCCGGGGATCTGGCCCTAGCTTCTGCCAGCGAACACTGCAGCTTTGAGCTTGCAATCTGTGCCAAGGTTCAATGAAAGACGAGCTGTCAGTTTGACCAAGTACACCTGCCACTGTGAGTTCGTGAAGGCTGAGCGGTGTGAGTGTGCTGCATGCTGCGGGCAAGACTCGGAAGACACAGAGACCTGAGACCAACAATTGCAATTGGACCAGAAGCAAGCTCAGGGCAGCCCTCTGATGTGTGTTCGCAATCTTTTGGCACTTCAAAGCGAGTCTCGTTCGTCGTAGCGTCGGAGGAGTTGGAGCATCAATTTCGAGATGAGGAGGCAGGGGTGTTCTGCTCAAAGTCCGACGATCCGACGATTGCAGATTTTGTCAGGAAGTTCCTTTTCATAATTGGATCCACGCCGCCAGACGCTGAGTTTACAGTCGCATGTTCAGCTGCAGCTTCTTTCGTCCAAGCAGGTCGATGTGGCTTTCTCGCTGCACATCGTCTTTCACGTCGCCTCTGCCCGGGCCACGGTTAGAGAAGCCCTTCTCATCTCTTTTTTGGACGGGCGACGAATCTTCATTCGTGTTACCTTCTTCCAGTCTTGCGGCATCTTCGAGTATCCGCAGCCGCAGCCGGTCTTAGATGATCTCTCGCCTCTGACCTGACGACGAGGCGGCCAACTTCCTGGCACTCCATGAACGTCATGCGAATCTCTCAGTCGCAGTCGTCGCACCGAAGCATGGCCTATGGCCTATGGGGGGTTGAAGTCATTCTTTGTCGCCGTGAGGCCCTCATGCTGGCAGCTCTGGCACATGATGTTGGTCATTTCGGACTCCCCGGCTTGCTTTTGGGCTGTTGGGCTGTGGAGCTGATGTCCCTCTCTTTATGCCCGAGTTTTGAAGTCCGGGGCCAGGTATGAACAACAGCTTTCTTCGTGACTCCAGTCACGAGCTGGCTCTGCTCTACAACGACCAGTCCTGCCTGCAGAACATGTCCTGTGCCAAGCGGGGATCCCCGGCAAAGACCAAGTAGACTTGCGTGCGCTCATTTCACTAGGACCAGACCGGGTAGTCCTCATTTCGCTGAGCTCAGCTCTCTGTGCCGCTTCTGCTTCTGGCAGGCTTTTCCGCCTCGCGAGTTCTCCTGAAACAGCGATCTTCAGTAACTTCAACGAGCCGACTCGTCGAGATGTTCGTCAGGCGGGACACGCACCCTATCCTCAGCCCAGATGAGCCGACGAGCGTAGGTCATCGTCAGTGCGATTCTGCACTGCGATCCGGCGTCTGCGCCTCAGAAAGCCGAGCTCTGCAGCTCTGCGGCTCTGCTCGCTCAAACTGAGCCCGCTTCTGCTTGGCGGTTCCTCGCGGTTCGAGGTGCCACGAGTCTCTCATGGCGCACATGCTCTGCTGCCACGTGTTGAAGCGCTTGCGGTGTCTGGCATCCCCCAAGTCTCGCGAAATTGAACTACCTGAAGGATCCTATAATAAGATTAGGAAGCTCTTGCAGCCAGGTTGCGGCACTATGAGATTCGCCAGGACCTCTTCGAATACATCCATCAGTTGTTGAGGATGGGCACGGGGCACTGTGCAGATTTGCAAATCACCATACTACCAGATGCAAAAATTTCGCACCAATGCATGCAGGGAAGACGACGAAGAGAAGCAGGAAGTCTTGGCCAAAGCCAAGGCAGAGGTGGAGGAGCCTGAGCCCAGACTTTGCTCCACCGTCAACGTCGACCTTCGTCAGTGCTTGGATGCAGTTTTGACGATTCTTTCTCCGAGGAGTACTTTTGGAATGCGGATGTGAAGTACACTCTTCGGGACGACCTGGCAAGAGTTGACAAGTCGTCATGTTCTGTTCTGTTCTGTTCATCTCGACAATGCATCCTTGATGTCAGAACTTTCTTCTGCACTTCACGGACAATTCCTATTCCCTGAAAACCTGGGAGATTTGTTCGAGCTGGGCCTGGACCTGAGACGACACTCTCGCAGAACCAGAGTAGTCAGACGCATGTGCTTCGGTTGAGATAGCGAGGGGGACTGGGTAGGAAGTGTTCCGTTGATGGCCTCTTCAGACAAACCAAAACTTCTTTGCGAACAGTCATGAGTGCAGATAAGACCTGAGTGGCTGCTGTGAGACTTCGCTTTTCATCTTTTCGACGGATGGATTAATGCCTTCAGGCAGCGCGCCTCTCCGAGGAGTTTTTCAAGCAGGTGCACTGAACAAGCTCAGGACACACATGAAGTTAAGCTCCTGCCGGAGTCCATGACTCAGCTGTCAGGCTGACAGGGAGCGGATCTGCAAGATGCCGATAGGCATTGCCAGCTTGTTGGTTTACCGTGCAGACAGAGCTTTGTTCGTGCAAGCGCGACACTCGAAGAGTGCCCGAGTCTGCCAGGACCGTTGAATGACCGGGCGCGTGTCAACGTGCCATTCGTCCAGGCGTCAAGCTGGATGAACACATGGCATGCCGTGGTTCCCCCATGTGATGTCCAAGCCAGTAGCCGCAGCCACGCGCGCTCCTCTGCATCCTTGATGCGCATTCCTTGGATAAAGCACAGTAGTAGGATTTAGTAGGTTTCAGAAGGCATCAGGTTTGTTGATCCATCGTTGTGATTGTTTTGTGTATGTTGATTGTTCCCTTTGGCGGTTGATGCACAGGGCATGGAATAGACAATACGAGCCATAATCTTTTGCTCCACATCGATATTGCATTTTGCCGCGTGCGTGGATTCTTATTGCAGGCTTTTGCTGTATCTTGTCTCTCTCCCTCTATGTCCCTCTCCCTCTTTGATGTCGGAGAGTGCTTTGGACAGCTTGACACCTGCACAGCGTTTTGTCCCAGCCAGGTCACCTTCATCAAGCATCTGGTTGCACCGCAGGCAATTCTGATAGTTAAGATGCTCCCGAGCATGCGTGACTGCAGGGGGCTGAGACGGGGACAACAAGTCTGCATCAGCCTTATGTGTCGGAGCTTTTGCGCACTTCAGGCACGCGCTCTATGTGGCACAACCTCCAGAGGCGGCAAGCGCACTGAACATTGAGGTGTTTATGTTGTGGCGACTCGTTTCTTGTTAGAGGTGGGCCTCCAAGTGGGAGCGGAGCGGCCCAGACCATGATGAGATGCAGAGAGTCAGGTGCTGAGCCACGTAGAGATAAAGGAGAAGCTTGCTGCGTCCAGTTTAGCTGTCAGTGAAGAGCCGAGGTCCGCAAAGAGATCACGCAGCTACATTCGGAGGCCAATGAGGAGCGCCAGATACAGATTCGAAGTTGCATCTGAAGCTCGCAGCTTTCTGGTCAGGAGGAGGAAACAGTGGATGCTGTGAAGACGGAGAAGCTCTCTCTTGAAGGGTGAAGCCGAGTCGGATAATGGACAATGGACTGTCGCTCCTAGTGTCACTCCAATGCCCTGGAGATGCTCCAGCAGCGAACACGGAGGATCTACTCATATCACACACATGCATCAGCTCAATGTTATTGGGTGAGACTGAAGAGCGACTGTACAGTTTCGACGGGCTAAATTTGCCTGTTGGATTTTCCACCCGTCGAACAGCGATGGGACAAAACACCAGGCAGCGCTTGCAGGTTTGATTGAGGCAGGACGATTTGAGAAGATGCTCCTGGAATTCCTCAACTTGGTGAGTCTAGTCATCCATGGACCGCATGCATAATAAAGCAAGAAAAGGAGTCCACTCTAAGCCGTTTAAACAGCATCTGACTCATGACCACATCAGCTTCCCCAACAACAGTTGGAGAGACGACCTGTGCCTTGCAGTTGTAGGAAGGGGTGTCGAAAGGGCGCTATGTCGCCAAACCCTGACGATACATGGAAGGCTCACGGTTACCAGTTCAGCTTTGAGAGGTCACGGCCCACGCTGATTGCTTGGAGCAGGTTCCACCAAATACAACATGGAGCGCGATGATCTCGCAGGAGGCTGCTCGACAAGCCTTCACGATCCCCCATTCATGCCTTGAGCATCAGATCTGATTGCGCACTTGGCTGGGTCGCTCGGATCTATCCGCTCAACCCGTCGTTCATGCCTGCAGAGTAGAGTTTAGCGGTACCGGTTTCAGCTTCTCAGACCAAAGACCTTCGAGCAAAAGATTCGTGCATGATACTGTAGTTCGCGACAGAAGCCACCATGGAGATCCTGTGACAGCTGAGTTCCACTTCAGGCAGATGCAAGCCCAGACAAGGCCCGGGCGGCCGCGTGCTCCGTCCAAACCGTTTTCAGGAACCGTCGTTACCGCAGTTACAGTGATGTACAGTGGTAGTAAGCTTGGGGTCGTCTGCCATGCTTCTTGTGAAAGCAAGGCAGGGCCGAGCTTGTCTTTGCAGGGTGTCTCAGAGTGGGGAGATCTTTCGGCGAGAGAGGCGCGTGACGCGTGCATCTGGAGCATTGGTGCTTGCTGCGTTGCCGCGAAGGGGCCCTCCAGATGGAAGCTTCTCATCGTCGTCATTGACTGTAGCTATGGACCGCGGCTCTCGAACCCACCGAGGTCCGCCCTCCCTGGAGCTCTTAGACCGGTGAAGTCGTGGTGGCTCCTGGCAGGTCGATCCGTGCGCTGAAGGCAAAGCTGGCTGCCGCCCTCGGCATCGAGGCCCGGCCGGCCGCCAGCGGTTAGCCGCGGTTAGCCGCGGTTAGCCCTGGGCCCTGAGAGCAGAAGTCTCCGAAGGGAAAGCCAAGCTTGGCGTTGAGGGCTTTGAGGCTTAGCCCAGCAACTCGGGGAGCTTACGTTCGCAGCTTTGAAGGCATTGTCAAAGCAATCTGGCACTGGCGGCGCAGAGGCCACAAGCGACGCAACCGTTTTCCGGTCTTGCTGTGCAAGCTGCAAGCTCCAGTTCTTGTATCCCTGACAGGCAGCATCTGCACAAGCAATCGTCTCGGGCGTCGAAGGGCCTCAACGCCATCTAATCGAACAGGACACCGGTGGATCGGCTGGGTCTGGGTCGAACATAGGACAGCAACTTGGGGATGGCTGCCTACTCAGGATGATGACCTGTGTGGCTTTTGGGACAGAGTGTGGCACCAGGATCTTTTGCTGGCACACGCTCCTCTGTCATGTGCAATGCCAGCAGCACCCTGTACTGGTACAAGTGGCAGCACACTGTGTGTTCGATGTTTCTATGCAGTCGTGCGACAGATTTACCGAGGTAGCGACCAATCCTGGTGTGTCCGAGGCGGATGCAGAGGAGGCAGGAATGGTATTCCGGCGAAATTGTGCTGAAGTTCTGCTTAGACAGCATGTGAAGGTACGTAGAATAAGCAAGTCACTGACGGACGGCAGCTCAGAACAGCGCTTTAGGCTTTAGGGCCGTCGCCACTTTCGGGTGGGAAGAGCTGTATCGCAACTCAACCGAGGTTCCCACATCGTCTTTGCCCGGAACTATGCAGCACACCTGGGGCTCGTGTACCACTTAGTCTGCCTTTTTTTATGGCATGGTTCTTCTTCATATTGCTGGCCTAGCATGTTCTGGGTTTGAGTCCGATGCGATGCCGTCTCAAAAAAATGCATATGAAGAAGGGCATGCACAAATTGCCAGCAAACCCAGCAAGAAGGTCCCACGTGCAGCCCACCCGCAGCAATTCCCGATCATCCCAGCAGCCATTGGTGTCCATGACTCAGAAGCGCTGTCTCTCTCTCTCTCTGTCTGTCTTTGTTTCTGTCCTTGGTGTCTTCGTAGCAGGAGTTTGCCTGGGATGGTTTTGGCGAAGCAAGCTGCTGGCACCTTACAGCTGCTAGTTTGGCCTTGCATGTGCACGAACCACTTTGCACTCGAGGCTGGGACGTTGATGCAAAGCTCAACACCACAGCGTCATGGAGATCACCGATCCAGTTGTACTTCCCTCAGGAAGAATGCGGGAAGCATGAAACCATGATCTTGCAACGTTGTGGCCCCGGCCGCAAGTGGGCCAAGCCCTCCAAACATTAGCACTTTCAGGCAGTCCTAAACTTGCGGTTGGGTTGGGGCTCGCTGCAGCGGGATGTAGGACAGAGAGTTGTACGCTGCAGGATGCACACCGTCGCCATCGCTTTTGGCTACTTTGAGTTGTTTGCGTGACTTCTGCTCGATGTCACTTGCAATGAAGACATGCCCACCTGCCTGAGAGTCCATGAACCCGAAATTCTGGAAGACTTCCCCCATCCTGTCCGGGCCATGGCTGCCTTAGCCTGGCTTCTGTTTTCCTTGGCCGCTGCCGTGGTCGATGCGGGACACCTGCGCGGCCTGCGCGGCCTCAGCGAGGACCTGGGGACGATACTGCGGGCGGACGTGGCGAAGGCTGCGAGTGCCTTTTTCAAGACCTTCCAGATAGAAGGCAATCAAGGAGGGGCACCGGCAGCCTCCATTGACACCACGGCGAGTGGTGCTCATCTCGTCCAGGAGCTCCTTTCCAACAAGGAGCTGACGGACGAGATCATGCTCAAGCCTACGAGGAACGGATGGGTCCAATCGGGCCGTCTTTACGACATCCTCATGAAGGACGCCCAAGTCGGCAAGGAGACCCACGTGTCCACCGAGGGCGGACAGGTCAAATTTTCTGTGGAAGATCTCTCCGTGGACGTTGAGTGTCAGTACGATCTACGTTTGTCTAGCTTCCGTTACAAGGAGACAGGCAAGGTGAGGGCCCGACTGTTCGGCGACTCCATGTTGCTGAACTTCCCCGTCGAGGGCTCCGGGCCCGGAGGGTGCCACTTCGGCGAAGGCCTCGACCTGGAGGCAGGGTCGTTCAAGCACGTCTAGATTTCTTTATCGGTTTGAACCGGTTCCAGCTCACAAAACATGCTTCAACACGCGTTGCCAGTCTGTGGATCTTTGCTTATCTGTTTAAACAGTGTCGTTGCACTGAGAGGCATAATTTCCTTGAGTTTAACCATGTAACATATTAATTCTGTTTCAGCATCCACGCGAGTAAACAGTTTAAACAAGTCCCCCGCCCCAACCCTACCGTGAGGTCCTCAATGCCACAAGTGATCACGATGCGCTGAATGTAGCGATCACTGACATTTTGTCCAACAACATGTTGGACCTCCGCACGGAAATCGTGTCGGAGATGGAGAGTGGCTTGTGCCGCAATCTGCTCGAGCCCCGTGCTCAGCAACCGAAATTCATGCACCAGGCTCTGGGCAATGGAGAGTCCATGTGGCCCCTGGTGCTTGGAACGATTTTTATTTCTTTCGCAATGCTGGTCGTTGCGTTCATCGCTGGCCGCCAGAGCGTTTATTTAGGCTTTTGTGGATGCTTTTACAGCTGCTGTGGTCCTTCTACGTCACCATGGTCCCAAACAGAGGGCCACACAAGCTCAGAGGAGTCTCACTCCGATATTGAAAACAACCTTCTGGGCCTGTCGAACATGACGGCCATTTTTCCGAAATGAATGGAGTGGGATGCCTGGGCCAGAGGCAGCGAGGTGAGTAATGTGCTTATGTGCGCTACCTGGCTACTACTTGGTACTATCTGAGCCATCGACTGCTCTTATGCCTCGGCTAGGCCCACATCCACCTCCCACGTTTCACGCTGTGAACCAGCCCTGCACAATGTCCCAGTTGCATGAGTTTAAAGGTTTCCTGAGTTCCACATAGTTCAGGATGTTGCTTGTCAAAGTCACAAAAAGAAGCGGAGCAACAGACAGAACCTAATTATGTTGGTTTGTTTGAGCAATGCATGGTCTGAGCTTTGCAGGCAGGCCGATATGGGACTTGATTCAATTAGGTGTACATGCCTCCTCATGAATATGGGGACATGGAGTGTTAGCAGTGACCTCCACGAGGACCGTTTGTCCACACCACCACCCCCGCAGTCGCACATGGTTCGACAGCCCCAAAGTCTTCTTACAGTAGGCGATGCAAAGCCAGTATGTGTACACGAAAGGAGACCTCATGATGAACCGACGTGTAACGTACACTTTTGAAAGTGATCTTCTGAACTCATTTCCCGAGCCATGCCTTAGCGTGGCTTCTGTTGTCCTTGGCCGCTGGCGTGCTGACACGCGAAACCTGCGCGGTCTGCTTGGGGACGATACTGAGGGCAGACGTTTCGAAGGCCGCCAGCGCGATATTCGAGACCTTCCAAATAGAAGGCAATCAAGGAGGAGTGACGGCAGCGTCCATTGTCACCTTGCTGATAGGGAGCAGCCTGCGCAAAACGGCTAGGTCCAATCGGGCCGTCTTTATGACATCATGAAGGACGCCCAGGTCGGTGTGGGGACACACGTGTCCACCGATAATGGGCTCCTCCAGTGGAGGTAACATGCAAGTACGACCTGGCTGTTTAGTTTGGGGCCGAAACTGGGCAGCCGGAGGTCGTAGTTGCATTTTACCTCCTCTGCGAGGGCTCGATTGTTCGGCGCCTCCATGTTGCTGAACTTCCCCGTCGAGGGCTCCGGGCCCGGAGGGTGCCATTTCGGGAAGGGCCTCGACCTGGAGGCAGGGTCGTTCAAGCACGCCTAGATTTCTTTATCGGTTTGAACGGTTTCAGCTCAAAAGGCATGTTTCAACATGTTCGGTCAATGCACTGGCGAGGCTAAAGCCATGGGTTATCATGTTTTAAGCATGTTAGGGATGGCGTCTAAACATGTTACACCACACTTGTCTGAACTCCTGGAGTGCCACACATGAAATCCGAACCATGGCGAAAATGTTTACACGATCCTGAAACATGTGTGAAAGTGGTCCCCGACTGCCCCACACTAAACAGTTCCTGGAGGGCCACGCCGATTATTAAACGTATGTTGAAGCAACTGGAAACTGCCACACATCACGAAGGCGCCTCAGTGCTCCGGATCTTGAAATTTAATTGAGCATATAACCTGGTGTTTAATCTGTTCGGTTTGAGACAAGTTTGAAGGGTTTGCACATTACCGGCCAGAGGGTTCCCTTTGTTTAAACACATGGTCTTTAAGCATCGGTGCGTGCAAGCAGTTCAAAGAAGACCCCCGCCCCGACCCTTCCTTGAGGTCCTGATTGCCAGGGGAGACCACGACGTGCTGAACGCGGCCATCACCGACATCTTGTCCGACAACATGTTGGACCTCCGCGCGGAAATCGTGCAGGAGATGGAGAGCGGCTTATGCCGAAATCTGCTCGAGCCCCGTGCGGAACAGCCCACGTTCATGCACAAGCCGCTGGGCAAGGGGGAGTCCAGGTTTCCCGTGGTGCTTGGAACGATTTTCACGTTCTTCGCAATGTTAGTTGCTGCTTTTCTTGCTGGTCGCGAAAGTGTTTATGTGGGTTTTTGTTCGTGTTTGTGCAGATATTGTGGCTGCTTGCCGCCACAAGCGCGGTCCCACACAGAGGGCCGCACAAGCTCCGAAGAGGCTCACTCCGATCTGGAGAGTCAGTTCATGTCAGTTCTTGTGGCTGTCGAACGTGAACCCCCGTTCTTCGGAAATGACTTCGCGGATTTGAGGCGAGGACCGAAGCTTGCAGCTAAACATATGGCAGTGATCGATGAGTGTTATTCCTCCGCCAAGCCACCCAAGTTCGGCGTCTCACACTGTGCACACTGTCCGAGTTGCCTGAGTTCAAAAGGTGGCCCATGGTACCGACATTGCCAGCCCGAGATTGAACTTCCAATTCGTGCAAGCTGTAGTGCAGGTGCGCATGCATAGCAACAGCATAACCTAAACCTGGTTAGAAACCTCCCCAAAGGTCTGCCAACCATTGACACGTCGGCATTGGATGCGCAGATCAAGCAGCTGGAGGACGCGCGTAATTCTGTTGGCAGCAAGGAAACAGTACCTAGAAGATGCAGAGAGAAACGCAGATGGTAGGAGCAAGCAGTAAAGAAGTCTTGGGACGTTTCGGGCAGACGGGCAGAGGGACAGCAGGGTCCAGAGCTCATCTGCGGTCATGAAGGAGCGGTGCGAGGATGCGGAGGTGAAGCTTGCGACCAGCTGGAGACTTAATGTAGGCGGCGAGGACATGAAAGCAGTGTAGTGAAAGGCTGTCGCCTTATTGTGAGGCCAGCAGCAATTAGAGTCCACTTCTGCCGAACTTGAAGTCCTGCAGATGGAACTCAAAGCAGCGGTCTCAATCTACTTGCACTCTTGGTGTGAGTCTCTTTGCGGTTTTGGCAGCAGGTTGCAAGGGACTCAAATCAAGCAAGCGAGGCCGAGCATAAGCGGTGAAGTTCAACATGAGAGTGCTCCAGTGCCGGTCGTCTCAGGAGAAGATCTCGCAGCTGGAAGATCTTTCCGCCCAGTTGCAGGTAGCGCTGAAACATATTCGCTTCAAAATCAGAATGAATGCTCAGCGGGCAGGAGCAGAATCTGGGCTTCATCAAGACTTTTGAAGAGCAGCTGGAGTGGGAATCCCATCTGGTTCAGTAGAGTCAAAGAAGTGGGCGAGTGCACTCCCTAGACTCTGGTCACTTCTCATTGAGGCATGCAAGAAAAGACATCAGACAAGAGGCTACTCCCTAGTAGAAGGGGCTGTCACCTGCGTTCGGCTTCCCAGTCTCGGCTGCAGGTAACAGATCAATACCAGGGAGCCTTGGACAATCAGGCGAAAAAGCTGCACGAGGCGGGGCCCAACTTCAGCTCCGGTGCTGAGACTTTCATGGTTGTGCTTCTGAAGTCTCTGCTCAGAATGCCCAGCCCAGCTTTCTAGCTTGCAGGCGCACGAAGTCTTAGGATCACGATGGTCATGGTGGCGGGAGTAGGCATCAAAAAAACTTCGATTCAAGCGTCGGAGAATTGCTGGTTCTTCGGTTCTAGAAGGGCAGGGAAGCAGGTGGAGGTTTTTTTTTATGCTGCCGAGGGTATGTGAGATCTCGTGGCAAGTGGCGAGGATCCGATTGACCACTGCTTTGCATCCAGCCGTCGACAGGCTGAAAGCCATGTCAGAAGACTGGAAGGTCAGCTTCGGGTGACTGTCGTACTGGCCTGTTGAAGAAGAACTACTGGCTGCTGGCATATGCCTAGATTTCAGCCTGCAATCCTGTCAGCTGGACAAGATCAAAGACCTGGAAGCTGCAGGGTCCTGACCAACCTTTCGCGTGAGAAGGGATTTCCAGAGTGAGCAGATTGATCGGATACTGAGGGAGTCCGTCAAGAGCGCAGCAACGCTCGCAGGAGCGAGGCTGGACATTTCGGGGGCACATCTCTGTGTGGAGTCCCCGTGGCATTTGCAGTTCGATGAGGCAGCACTGGCTGGTGAGCATGCAAAGATCGAGGAGATGTCGTCGAAGCTGCATTGGCAGGTGCAGCGATGATCGGGTCACTGCGATGAATTTGCTGAGTTGCAGTGCAGATCCCTGCGGACCAGGCGGCGCGGCTCAGACAATTGGAGTTCTACGCCAACACGTGGCAACGGAAAGTCCACGAGCTGGCTGAGTCCAATGCTATTCGAGCCTGGGACTTGGTGACGGAATGCCACAACCAACAGATAGCTTGTGCTTTGTGGCCGTGGAACCAAAGCACTATGAACCTCACCGGACTCAGGTTCTCACTGAGCCTGCAAACATGCACTCGAAGACGTCTCAGCTTGGTTTACTTTCGACGATGGCGTTCCTGCAAATGTCGGATGTCGCAGGAAAAAAGAGTATACTGCTAAGGTTTCGCGTTTCGAATTTCTCCGAGAAGATGAGGTGGCCGAAAGGCGTGGTCTGTCCACAGACGTCCGTGAAAAGCATTGTCCTGGTTGCGGCTTGACATGCAGATCAACTTGCAGAGTCTGCAGGACGCATGGTGCAGAGCCCTGAATTCAACATACCAGAGTGGCTGGCCCAGATAATGTTGTGGCGGCCTTCACAGTCCAACATGGATTGCTATGAGGTTGGGAGAAACACAGCTGGAGTTCTTCCCGGCTGGGGAGATAAACTCTCGACCCGGCTGGTGCTCGGTAAGGCAGCTTTTGGCGACGTTTCGTGGACCTCTCCCCGCTGGCTTCAAGCTCCTTGGTTTCCCGAGCAGGCTTCGTGTACCCGATGGATCTCGCATGCGTTGGCGGGCTGGGACCTCGGGTTTGTTCGCGCAGGCGATCACAGGCGGAATCATAGAAAACGAATCAGAGGTTGTTTTCCGGTTCAGGTAACTGTGGGCAACAAGGAATTCGATCCGCGGGAAGACCACTATGATGCACGCCAGTGGCCGGAGGCTTAAAGTCAGGGAAGGCAGTCGTGCACAAGTGTAGCATTCCTTCAGCCCAGGTGGAACAGATATGGCATCCAGTGCCTGAACTTTTGCCAGGCCTGTACTAGACACATGCGGCATGCGTGTTCTCATTTGCGATGTTGCAGTTGCTTGTTGTCGACACATAGGCCGCACCATCCTCGTTGGCTGGGCAGCATTCGTTGCACTTGTTGTTGACTGCGTTTCTTATTCCATTTGCAGTCTTGAAAGGCCGCATTGCGAAGGTGAGTGTTTGCACTAGAGCAGAAGTGGGTACTCCAGGTGTACAAACACTGCCGACAGTTACGCGAGCAGCTCTTCAACTCTTTCCCAGACACCTATCAGCTGCATGTCGGATTAGTATCCTGTGGAACATGTTAGCATTCTTCTGAAATTCCCGGCTACCAGCGGCAAACGAATTTCGGAATACGGTCATCATGTGAGATGTAAGTGGTGACCACACGACCAAAACTGGACTGGCAATCTGACCGTTTGCAGGGGGTAATCAGGCGATGAAACTGGGCCTAAGACGATTCCTTCAGTCTCTGCCTTCAGGGAGAGCAGATGGCTGGGATAGCCTGCATTTTCGAAGCGACTCCAGGCCGACGATCTTTTGGCAGAGGTCCTGCCCGAATCGGACTCGGTAGTGCTAGGTGTGCAGGCCGCGGGGAAGGAGGGCTCTCAGTTTGATGCCCATGGGAGTACTCGGTGGGGCTGCCTGGATTTCGGAAGGTTCTGGAGATATTTTCGACCGCTGCCAGACGCTGGGTTGTCGCGGTCGTGACACATGACATGTTGACCAGCCCATGTTGTTATCTTCTGTTTTCTGACTTGAGGTTGTTCCTGCAGCCCCTGTCATCCCTGTGGAAGTCGATCGTGAGGAGGACTCACCGTTGCCTTTTTTGCACGTTGCTCTAGTGATGCTCTTCAGGCGTGCTGTAGTGCCGTCACAGGCGAAGCCTACAAGGCCCGGCACGGCCCCACAGTCGGCGACCTACCGTCTTCCGAAGTCGGAACGAGACCTGATGTAAGAAGCACTCCTGAAGATCTCCAAAACCACCCTCGCACTTTTTTGTCCGAGGCGTCATGCTGAGAGTCCTCGAAGACCCTCGAATGCCAGCCAGGCACGGCTGAATCCCTGCTTTGCCTGATGATGCTTTACCACCGTAGGCTTTGAGTTTGCCGAAGCGACTTGCTGCATGTCTTGTTTGATGAGACTATGCTGTGTTCATACCCAGCGTCGAGCATGTGTGCATGATGGCCTCGACAGCCAAGAGTTCTCAACAGTTTGAGCGGGTTGAATCAATCTCTTTGTTTCATGGCCGAACTCCTGCCTGCACGTACAAAGCATGCCCAAATTCAAGTAATGCGAGTCATGGGTGTGATGGGACGTGCAATGCAGGTGTTTTGCATGCACGCACGACAAGTAACTCAAGGACCCTTCGATGACAGAGAGCTTCTCAATGTAAACCATGGAGATATTCTTCTACACCGTTGCTGGTGTCAGCGCTGCGCACCCGCTCCGGAGAATCTCGACCTGCTCTTGAGTGCATGGCCCACTCCTGCCGTTTTGCACTCTGCTGCGTGGGCCGCTGCTGTTACTGGTGGTGCTGGGTGTGGTGCTGGGTGTGGTGCTGAGGGTGGGGGTCGGGGTGGTGGCGGTCATGGTCGGGTCGCGTTGGGGTGGGTTCGGTTTAAATCGCGTGCCACTAACCCTAAGTAGCACATGAAGTGTACGCAGTTTGCCTGCATGCGTGTGCAGCTTTGTCTGGCTACCCGTGTCTGGTATTAAACCCTCCCGCTCAGTATGGGCTGCCGCCGCATATTTGTGCCATGGGTACTAATGCGAGACTTTGGCAGACGAGACTGTTTGTGTGCCGGAGTGCACCTGTCTTGCGGGGGTTGATCCCCGACGTCCATGTCATGCTCGGTTTGCGTGCAGTAGGGTTGGTGGTGGTGGTGCTGCTGCGGTTGCTGCTTGTTGAGAAGAAGCATCCGCTGTCTTTTTGGCTGCTAGGTTCCGAACACGACCTAAGACTTCTGATCCAGCGAAGGTTGCAGGATGCTGTAGCAATGACCGTGGAACCAGCTCAATCTCACACACCCTTGCAGTCAGCATGTCTTCGCTACAATGTCGGAAACTAGAGTACGTCGATTACACGTCCGGTCATCTAGTGATCATGTGTCCATCCACTTATTGGTCCATCCCGAATTTGATTTCTATCTGTCGGTCAGCCGTGATGCACCTCTTCGTTCGTGTAAAGGTTATCCGTGCGTCCATCCCCCCCTCTATCCATCCTTCCTCCCCTTATCCATCAATCCGTCCACCCACCCATCCATCTATCCATCCATCTGCTTGCCAGATGACTTGTTTCAACTATCTTCAGGCCATTCGGGTACATGCAGTTCTTGAGGGTGTAGCAGGTGCCACCTCCTACCATCAGCAGCGTCAAGGAGGCACCTGTTGCCCGATCGCAGCCTCAACTTCCAAAGCCCGCGTGTCGCCCAGAGAGCTCGCAAGAAAATCGAGGTCTGCCTGAGTTCCTGCGTGCTTTGCTCAATGGATTGAGGCATATGCTTTTGCCGCCGGTACTGCTTCCGCTGCTGCTGCAGCTGCAGCTTTCGCCTGCGTCCCAGTTGCGGCAAGATGATATTGCTTGCATTGCCTTCGGAATTGTTTTGCTGAGCGCTGGAATCTTCGAGGTGGTGAAGAGTGGCAACTTGCCGCCTGCTGTGGCTGCCAGCCGAGGGCTTCACAGGTTGGCACGCGCATGCTTTTCAGTGAGCATTAAAGCAGGTCCTTGGGCCGTCTTGGGCCTTGTACAAGTAGCAGTCAAGAGTACATAGCCTAGGTTGAAGCTCGGACTAGCCTGGCCAGGCAGCGTAGCTTCGGTGCCCTCCGAGCAAACAAAGTGCTGTGAGATGCTCTTCGTGAGTGGAGCTGCGTAGTCAGGTGACCGATTTGAAAGAGCGTCAAAGACCAACTTAGTAACAACAGAGACCTTGACCAGGAGACTACTGTACCGACAATACCTGCTTCGATCTGTTTCGCGTGGAGACAGCCTCTTGCGCGCTGTCCGCTAGCTTTCATTTGCGGCAATTTGCGCTGCTGTACCATGGACGATGAAAACTCACGGCTCTGGACAGCTTCTGCACATGTTGCACGATAATGCCTGGTCTCTGTGAGCCGAGGGTGCTGGAATCCTAACGCCAAAGTTCTCTTTTTCGCGCCCCCAGGCCCCGGATCACACGATGCCATGATCCCGCCTGCAAAACGCAGGAAAGCCACAAGTGCCTGGTCGTTATGGTCTCAAAGCCGCAAGCACCTGATTCCCCGAAGGGCGTCCAGGTCCTGCAATGGCACCTGTGGTGACTCTGGGAGGAAAGGAGATTCAGCGAGAAGTGTTTGGAGCCTGATCATCTTGTGCTGGCGCTGAAAAGCCGGATTTTTCTGGCTCCACTCAGGCTCTGAATTAGGCTGCAGTAGGCTGCCATGGTCAGAGCGAGCCAGCAGGCCGCAGTCTGCGAGTTCCACTCTGCCGGGTTGTTGTGGGTGTTAGCTTGGCCTTCGTAGGCAGCCGGCTTCTGGCTCCACGAGACGTACCAGGCCATGCCACTCCTGCTTTGAATGGTGACTTGAGCATCTCCGACTGCACCAACTTTTCAGCCTCAACTGTGTCGATTCCTGCAGGTGACGTCGGGGTAACTGGATGATCCGTGGATTGAAGAGCAAGTCAGATCCTCGGTGTTGTGACGATAGCAAGATCGATGCTCTGCGTTATTCTGCGTTTATGAGTAATTTGAGTGCTCGCGAGGTTTGCCAAGTCAAACAGCAGCACCAACGTCGCGGCGGGGAGTGGGGCGCAAGGAGCGTCTGTCATCAATACATCGAAGGCCTGTGCGGCTTTTTGATGCAGCCAGCGGTAAACCAGCGTAGCCAGTGACTACAGGTGTAAGCCCAGGGAGGGGGTGGGCTTGTGCAGGTTGGAAATGCAGACACAAGTGCCGCAGCCGCTGTGCCGGACGAGGGCGAAGCTGTCGAGCCGAAGAGGACACTCACAGAACTTGGGCCAGAGCCAGAGCCCGCGTGGATTGATGTCCGCTCTCGGGCCGGTGAGGACCGGTTCATCCTCCTCGAAAGCCATAGTGGCCTGAGCCCGAGACTGCATGAGAATTGCAAGGCCTCCCGTGTTGACGGCAAGGCAGCTGAAGATCCTGCAGGGAACGGTTGGGCTTACGAGGCTGGTTTCTGTTGCACGGATGCTGGTGATGGCCAAACCACGCCTTTTCGGCCAGGATGTCTGGAGCTATGTTGACTCCATGGGAGTGACAAAAATTCCCGGAGAGGAGACACATTCCCTCATTGCTTCAGCAGATTTCAGCAGCAGGAATATGGTACAGAAAGCAATGCATCAGGTGACATTCGCGTACAGCAGTCTACTGTAGAACTTAATACATGGCTGCGTGCATATGTATGTGCGCATATCTGTATACATATATAAACGTGAAATATATTCGAACGCAAAGGCAGGCATTTATGCATGTATGTATGTACGTAAGTAGGTACGCACGGACATGTCTGTGTGTATGTCTGTATGGACAGGAGGAAGCTGGGAATGTAGGAGGGCAGGAAAGAAGGAATGCAGGTGGGTAGGGAGGTACACATACATACATGGATACATACATAACGGCGTGGTGCCGACCGTGTTCTCACAAGCACGAGGTCCTGGTGCATGCCAACATCGGCCATTGGCAAATAGCACAAGCACCGAGTGGTTTGTGAGGAGCATATCCTTCGCTTCCTCGCAGACTGCCTTCACGCCTCGCCGCTTCCGGCCCCGTGGGACACGGCCTTACAGCCATGGAGAGGTCGTTGCAGTCTTCTCGCTCCCGTGTTATTATTATTGCTACTACTAACAACTTCTTCTTCTTCTACTACTACTACCACCACTTCTTCTCTACTACACTGCTACTGCTACTCCTACTCCTGTATCGCGACTTTTCGAAAACTCTGATGATTATGGTTATGATAGTTGGCTAGGTGCTCGTTGCCATCACATGCTGTGCACGTCGGCGTGATCGAGGCAGTTCACAAAGACGGCGAGGGCCGGGTCTTCTACGGAAACTCATCTACTGGCGAGACCGCCTGGGAACACCCCCTGGAGGACTGTTCGCCAGCCTCAGTGCCTTCGGTTCAAAGACTGGCAAATGTGGCCAGGAGATCATCCGTGAGCTCGCTGGCGTTTGCCGTGCCGGGTGCCTGCCATCTTGAGTCAGGTTGCTTTTGCATGTTCTTATTGCGTTCAGCCAGGCCACGGCAATGTTGGAAGGAGTTATTTAGGGGCTGCGCCCAGGTGCGGGCAGCGCGAGCTGTTGTCAGAAACCCGCGGTATATAGATAAGTGCAACGTAGGCCCGAAGTGCGCAACTTGTGGGTGATCGTAGGCTCTCAGCCCCCGTCGGCCCTGCATGTAGCCCGCACCCCCCGTCCGCCGGACCCCGCTGATGCTCATGATGCGCGCCCTTTGGCGGCTTCCGCAACCCACTCAAAAACTTGGGAGTTATGACTTCGCGCCCACGTCGCGCCGCCGGCGCCGGTTGCGGGCGCCCGAGGGCTCATGATGCTCGCCGGCTCGCCTCCTGGGGTCGTCCACGGCGGCCCCGAAACCCGCCACACCGCGGGGAATGGCTGCAAAACGCGTGCGCGTTCCGAGACGCCTTCGGGCCAGGCCCCGCGCGGCCCGAGGGAGAAACGAGGGTCCGATGATGCGGGGTCCGGGGCGGGTCGGCGGCACTGTCGGTCGTGGCTTCTGCTTCGCAGACGAAGCTCATTCGTCTGAGCCATAGCTCAGTCCATACAGGGCAGCGAAGCGCTGCCCGATTTATGGGCTGCCGCCACTGCCGCCGACCCCAAAAGAAGAGAGGTGACTATCCAAGGAACGCAGCAGGTGTTGAAAGCAGCCAACTGCAAGTCTTGTAACTGGCACGAGTAGCATGAGCACATGACTGATGCGGCGAAGTATTCGGACTGACGCAGTGCTCAGCTCTCGGACATTGTGTGCGCATGTTTCAGCAACCTTGTGACTCAGAGGCAAAAGGCATCCGCACAAAACCGAGTTTAGCAGGAGGGCTGTATTCGATATGCTTAAGATACGGAACCAGTGCAGTTGTGGCCATGGGATGGTACGACAAAAAAAAGTCGCGCGCGCGGCGGCGCATCGCAAAGCCGGGGCGGGCAGTGAGGACAATAAAGGTAGTGAGGGCGGTGGGGGCGGTGTTGGCGGTGGGGGCGATCGGGGTGGTGGGGGCGGTGTGGGCGTAGGCGGTGGGGGCGGTGTGGGCGGTGTGGCGGGCGGTGTGGGCGGTGGGGGCGGTGGGGGCGGTGTGGGCGGTTGGGCGGTGTGGGCGGTGGGGGCGGTGGGGGCGGTGTGGGCGGTGTGGGCGGTGGGGGCGGTGGGGGCGGTGGGGCCGGTGTGGGCGCGGGGGGGTCCGGGTTGGCAGCCTTTAAATACTCTTTACTCTTTAAACACCTACAAATACAGCGGGCGGTGAGAGCGGTGGAGACGGTGTGGGCGCGGGGGGGTCCGGGCACACATTGGCAGCCTTTAATTACTCTTTAATCTATACAGCGGGCGGTGGGAACGGTGAAAGCGGTGGAGGGGGATGAAGGTGGTGGGGGTGGTGAGGGCGGTGAGGGCGGTGTGGGCAGTGGGGGCGGTCGGTGTGGGCGGTGTGGGCGCGGGGGGGTCCGGGCACACATTGGCAGCCTTTAAGTACTCTTTACTCTTTAAACACCTACAAATACAGCGGGCGGTGAGAGCGGTGGAGACGGTGGGAACGGTGAAAGCGATGAAGGTGGTGGGGGTGGTGAGGGCGGTGAGGGCGGTGTGGGTGGTGGGGGCGGTGTGGGCGGTGTGGGCGGTGGGGGCGGTGTGGGCGCGGGGGGGGGTCTGGGCACACATTGGCAGCCTTTATTACTCTTTACTCTTTAAACACCTACAAATACAGCGGGCGGTGAGAGCGGTGGAGACGGTGGGAACGGTGAAAGTGGTGGAGGGGGATGAAGGTGGTGGGGGTGGTGAGGGCGGTGAGGGCGGTGGATAGGGCGGTGTGCATGGGCGGTGGGGGCGGTGTGGGCGGTGTGGGCGGTGTGGGCGGTGGGGGCGGTGGGGGCGGTGGGGGCGGTGTGGGCGCGGTCCGGGCACACATTGGCAGCCTTTAAATACTCTTTACTTTTTAAACACCTACAAATACAGCGGGCGGTCAGAGCGGTGGAGACGGTGGGAACGGTGAAAGCGGTGGAGGGGGATGAAGGTGGTGTGGTTGGTGAGGGCGGTGAGGGCGGTGTGGGTGGTGGGGGCGGTGTGGGCGGTGTGGGCGGTGTGGGCGGTGGGGGCGGTGGGGGCGGTGTGGGCGCGGTGGGGTCCGGGCACACATTGGCAGCCTTTAAATACTCTTTACTCTTTAAACACCTACAAATACAGCGGGCGGTGAGAGCGGTGGAGACGGTGGGAACGGTGAAAGCGGTGGGGGGGGATGAAGGTGGTGGGGGTGGTGAGGGCGGTGAGGGCGGTGTGGGCGGTGGGGGCGGTGTGGTGGTGTGGGCGGTGTGGGCGGTGTGGGCGCGGGGGGGTCCGGGCACACATTGGCAGCCTTTAAATACTCTTTACTCTTTAAACACCTACATATACAGCGGGCGGTGAGAGCGGTGGAGACGGTGGGAACGGTGAAAGCGGTGGAGGGGGATGAAGGTGGTGGGGGTGGTGAGGGCGGTGTGGGCGGTGGGGGCGGTGTGGGCGGTGTGGGCGCGGAGGGGTCCGGGCACACATTGGCAGCCTTTAAATACTCTTTACTCTTTAAACACCTACAAATACAGCGGGCGGTGAGAGGGGTGGAGACGGTGGGAACGGTGAAAGCGGTGGAGGGGGATGAAGGTGGTGGGGGTGGTGACGGCGGTGAGGGCGGTGTGGGCGGTGGGGGCGCGGGGGGGGCCGGGCACACATCGGCAGCCTTTAAATACTCTTTTTAAACACCTACAAAAACAGCGGGCGGTGGAGACGGTGGGAACGGTGAAAGCGGTGGAGGGGGATGAAGGTGGTGGGGGTGGTGAGGGCGGTGGGGGCGGTGTGGGCAGTGGGGGCGGTGTGGGCGGTGTGGGCGGTGGGGGCGCGGGGAGGTCCGGGCACACATCGGCAGCTTTTAAATACTCTTTACTCTTTAAACACCTACGAGAGCGGTGGAGACGGTGGCAACGGTGAAAGCGGTGGAGGGGGATGAAGGTGGTGGGGGTGGTGAGGGCGGTGAGGGCGGTGTGGGCGGTGGGGGCGGTGTGGGCGGTGTGGGCGGTGGGGGCGCGGGGGGGTCCGGGCACACATTGGCAGCCTTTAAATATTTTTTTCTTTAAACACCTACAAATACAGCGGGCGGTGAGAGCGGTGGAGACGGTGGGAACGGTGAAAGCGGTGGAGGGGGTGGTGGGGGTGGTGAGGGCGGTGAGGGCGGTGTGGGCGGTGGGGGCGGTGTGGGCGGTGTGGGTGGGCGGTGCGGACGGTGGGGGCGCGGGGGGGTCCGGGCACACATTGGCAGGCTTTAAATACTCTTTACTCTTTAAACACCTACAAATACAGCAGGCGGTGAGAGCGGTGGAGGGGGATGAAGGTGGTGGGGGTGGTGAGGGCGGTGAGGGCGGTGTGGGCGGTCGGGGCGGTGTGGGCGGTGGGGGCGCGGGGGGGTCCGGGCACACATTGGCAGCCTTTAAATACTCTTTACTCTTTAAACACCTACAAATACAGCGGGCAGTGAGAGCTGTGGAGACGGTGGGAACGGTGAAAGCGGTGGAGGGGGATGAAGGTGGGGGGTGGTGAGGGCGGTGAAGGCGGTGTGGGCGGTGGGGGCGGTGTGGGCGGTGGGGACGGTGTGGGCGGTGTGGGCGCGGGGGGGTCCGGGCACACATTGGCAGCCTTTAAATACTCTTTACTCTTTGAACACCTACAAGTACAGCGGGCGGTGAGAGCGGTGGAGACGGTGGGAACGGTGAAAGCGGTGGAGGGGGATGAAGGTGGTGGGGGTGGTGAGGGCGGTGAGGGCGTGTGGTGTGGGCGGTGGGGGCGGTGTGGGCGGTGTGGGCGGTGTGGGCGGTGGGGGTGCGGGGTGGTCCGGGCACACATCGGCAGGCTTTAAATACTCTTTACTCTTTAAACACCTACATATACAGCGGGCGGTGAGAGCGGTGGAGACGGTGGGAACGGTGAAAGCGGTGGAGGGGGATGAAGGTGGTGGGGGTGGTGAGGGCGGTGAGGGCGGTGTGGGCGGTGGGGGCGGTGTGGTGGTGTGGGCGGTGTGGGCGGTGTGGGCGGTGTGGGCGCGGGGGGGTCCGGGCACACATTGGCAGCCTTTAAATACTCTTTACTCTTTAAACACCTACATATACAGCGGGCGGTGAGAGGGGGAGACGGTGGGAACGGTGGGAATGAAAGCGGGGTCGGGCGGGGGATGAAGGTGGTGGGGGTGGTGGACGGCGGGGGTGAGGGCGGTGTGGGGCGGTGGGGGCGCGGGGGGGCGGGGCCCACATTGGCAGCCTGTTAAATAATCTTACTCTTTCAACAAAGACAGCGGGGCAGTTTGAGAGCGTGGAACGGTGGGAAAACGGTTGAAACGGTGGAGGGGGATGAAAGGGGTGGGGGTGGGTGGGAGGGCGGTGAGGGCGGTGTGGGCGGTGGGGGCGGTGCTGGGCGGTGTGGGCGGTGGGGGCGCGGGGGGTCCGGGCACACATTGGCAGCCTTTAAATACTCTTCACTTTTTAAACACCTACAAATACAGCGGGCGGTGAGAGCGGTGGAGACGGTGGGAACGGTGAAAGCGGTGGAGGCACAGTGCAGGCGTGAGATGGTGGGGGTGGTGGCGGTGGATGAAGGTGGTGAGGGCGGTGTGGGCGGTGGGGGCGGTGTGGGCGGTGGGGGCGCGGGGGGGTCCGGGCACACATTGGCAGCCTTTAAATACTTTGTAAAAGTAAGGGCGGCGGTGGCGGTAGGGGCGGTGTGGGCGCGGAGGGGTCTGGGCACACATTGGCAGCCTTTAAATACTCTTATTTTTTTTTTGACACCTACAAATACAGCGGTGAAGGACTCTTTAAACAGGGCGGTGGTGGAGGTTGTGAGGGTGGTGGGGGCGGTGAGGACGGTGGGGGCAGTGGGGGCGCGGAGAGGTCCGGGCACACATTGGCAGCCTTTACATACTCTTTAAACACCTACAACTACAGCGGAGAAAGACGCTCTGAACAGAGCGGTGGAGGCGGTGGAAGCGGTGTGGGTGCGGACACCTCTCGGGATATCACGGGCGCCGCCCGCAGGGGTCGGCGGATATATATGAACATATATATATATATATACATATGAACATACCTTCATTCCCTTCTCGTGGAGAAGGCGCAGCTCAGGAGCTGGACTGCACCAGCCACCGGCCTGCGGATGACCGTCGAGGGCGACCCGTGCAGTGGGTGGATCCGAGGTCGACGGATCGGCTCCCGACGGACGCTCGGAAGCCGAGAAGCTAAGACTGATCCGCTAAGAGCTTTGTTCGGACTTCACGCGAAGACCAGATCCGGATATCCGTCGACAAGCTGCGGTAGAGTGTGGGGACCCCCTCCTGCTTTGCAAGGAAGACTGCCTGTACCTTGACCTTTGGCTGCCCAAGGGCACGGCAGAGAGATCTGGAAAGCCGCTGCTTCCAGTTCTAGTTTGGATCCTTGGCTGCTCTTGGGCTCAAGATGGAAAGAGGTGAGTACCTCTCATGGCGGTAATTCAGATGTCAAGGGAGCATGAGACCTCAGTGTCCTCCCTGTGTTGTTGTCAGAGCTTCGAGAAGGGTAGCGCTCAAG